CAGGTGAATCAAATAATAAAAATGCCATGTACATCACTACAGATTATGCGAGACAGTCAATAGTAATGCTTTTGTTTAATCCTGAGTTACAATCATATTACATACTGCGTTTCGACTAAATCAATAAGCCCCCCTCTTAATTAAGCCCCCCTCTCCAATAAGCCCCCCCCTCAAACGTGCCTGAAATAAATAAGCCCCCCGGTGGGCTAAATAGAGGATTTACGGCATTAGGTTAGTAAATGGAGCTTCAAATTTGAAAAGGTAATGAAATGGAATCCACCTAAATTATGAACATGCAGCCCTAAACAATYGTACAGAGCTTGAAGGACAATCCAAAATGTTTCCGTTATTGTATATAATAATCGCAAGCATTCATAATTTAAGGGTGAAGCTAAGCTATGGGGTGGGGTGGGGGGAATGAGCATGGATTTAAAGCTCCAAAGAACAATTTTTTGTTATCCACTATTTTACGAACCTCTTGTATTTTCTTTAAATATATAAAACACAGTGCCTCAACATTATATCATATTTTGTAGTTGAGAAATATATCAAAGGCCCATATCCATATCCATGCACATAGCCCCCTACCCTTGGAACTGTAGGTTTCTCAGAGAATGGGGAAACAATAGCCCTGACCCCAATACATTTACCGGATAATAATTACCCCCACCCAGTTAGCTCAGTTGGTAAGAACGACAGATCGACTACTGCGACCAACACTCAGGGTCTTAAAATAACTAAAGAGAAGGTCAGCTGCCTTCATAATAATATTTGCAAATGGTTAGACCTTCAAGTCTTAAAGATAATGACTTTAAACCATAGGCCCTGTCTCTCAACCCTTCCTAACCTACAGTAAAATGGGGGACATAAAAGAACCTGTTGAATTATTYAYGTAAGAATAGGGGATTGTCTCCCAGTTCAACAGCCTATCCCAATCTGGAGGCCCTGTCTCCCAAACCTTCCAAACCTGCAGTAAATATGGGAGTAGGGGATTGTCTCCTGGTTCAACAGCCTATCCCTGTCTGGAGGTATAACACTAATGTACTAATTAAACTCATGATTGTAAGCTGAACGGCTGCTTTGCAGCCTGTGAAGTCCTCCACTGATAATAAATGTAAAGCGTATTAGAGTGCTTTTAGTCTCACTGTTGTATAGGTGACGTCAACTATATTAGATAAGTTATTTACTATTTTAGGTGACGTCACCTAAATTTGAAACTACGAGTAAACAGCTACTGAGATCAGGGGGAGAAACGATGATACAAATGAATGTCTATTCACTCTTTCTTTAGTAAAACAACCCCCTGGATTAGCATGGCCTCTATTTGGCGTGCTTTTACTATTTTAGGTGATGTCAACTAAATAGCTATCCAAGTTAGATACATTCATCTAACTATTCCAGAGTAGTCAATCGATAAAAATCGATAGACATCAGCTGATTTGTATCGATTTTTATGGGAAATCGTTTAAAATCGATAAAAAAAATTGGTGTGAGTTCGATTTTTATCCATGTAATCGATTTTTATCGATCAAGATTTGACAGCTTTAATTCGATCCAATAATGAGTACAATCATATAATGAGCTTTATTTCACGGAAAATGTTCGAAAATATCGATGATAGTGCAATAGATTCCTAAGATCAGGCAGCTAATTATCCAAGTATTTTTGCTGTCTTTTCACTGATCACTATAACATGGCTGTAACATGCACCTATTTTTAAATTATTATTAAGATAACTTCTTGAGCAGTTCAAATGAAATAATAATACTATAAAATAAGAATCAGTAGACTAATCGTTTTCATTTGAATGCAGTCTAACTTGAACACTAAATGTATATATGTTATGAACTTGATTAATAATGATCGATCTAGAGATCGAATTCGTTTTGGTTCTAAATACAAAGTAATGTTGGTGTACTGTAAGTAACACTCAAAGTCTCAAAAGTAACATTCAAAGTGTCATCGAGTTGAACGCAGGCAAGCATGAAAATTAAACTTGCAATCCACGATAGGATAGCTTTGTAAAGCAATATGTCAAGGCAATTACAAATTCTGCAATGCATAACATGACAATCAGTTCGCCAAATAATAATAGCAAATCTGCAACTAAATGAAGAGTCAAAGAAAGCAGAAATAAATTATTGATTTATTGAGTTATGAGTTGCTACTCAATGTGGTGAGTCTATTTGTTTCTCACTGTCAACTCCTAGTTTGTGTCAAGCTATGGTTGACACAAACACACCGGTGGTGTGAATCCGTAGCCACACGACCCTTGTACGATCATCGATAGAAATTTTTCAAGACATAAATCGAAAAAAATCGATATGTATATAATCAATCAATCGATAAAAATCGATACAAAAATTTAGTGTGAGTTCGATTTTTAACGATTGATCGATACAATCGATATCAATCAAATCATCGGTATCGATTGTTATCGATTTATCGATTGGCAAAATCGATATCGATTTTTATCGATTGACTACTCCGGGATCTATTCAACAGTGAGACTAAAAGCACTCTAAAAAAGCACTCTATTATTAACTATGCCGTAACTGAGTATTTTGAAATGTTCTAAAATTATAGCAGATTATCGTCTACGGTGTGTACGATCTGAAAACTTTCATGGAATTTTCCGAAATTTTCAAAATCAGATCGATTCAAGTTTTACAGACGTTGCCAAGTCAAGACACCGGACAAAACACATAAGACTTATAATTTTGTTTAAGGGCTGATCTAAGCCATAGTAGTATTTTTTTAAATCGAAAAAACTCCATATTTACCTGTGTTGTTTCTAGAAGCCATATTTTACTTCCTTTCGCTTGGGATGAAATGACAACTTCTGCATCTGCTCCCGTGAATCAATCCGCTGACCTTGATATTGCGCAATCAGCAACAAGATTCTATATATAGAGGGGAAACGAAAAGTTTTAAAACATCGCTAAAATGGCTTGAAATCGCCACTAAAGAACAAAGACGACGTAAGCAACAACACTTCAAGTGAGTAAATATTGGCCTATATTTTTTCCCCCCCCGTTAAATTCCATTCAGTTCGCAAAGTTTGTATGGGCTTCCTGTGTATGGCAGAGTAGGAAAGAATATGAATACTGTACAACGAAAAAAACTCCAAATTTTGCAGTTTCGCAAATTTGCTTGACGAAATTGTATTTAGAAATCGGAGTGATATTTACAATAAAGGCTACAGTTAGGGACTGGTCTTCATTTAGAGCGGGAGGGTAGAATGCAAGTTTTTTTTATTTTCAGACCCCACCATGCATTGGATATGATTTCAGGAACCCCCATTTTCAAATCCCCGAATTTGCCACTGTTGCCATACTTGTATGAATAACATGAATCAACAGATGTTTTTAGTTTGTAAGTGAGTTTGGGTAATGATTTCTCCTGTATTTGTCCTCCAGGCCTCTACATTCACAGTGGCGGATCCAGGATTTTTCAAAGGGGGGTTCCGTTTCTTAAACTGTGTGTAATTCTCTTTTGTTTAGTTGATGTTTGACAACAAAAAATGGCTCTAATTACCTAATTTACTATCTAGTAACGGACCAAGCTATAATAACACGACCCAACGCAAAACTACTAATATTTTTTTATTAAAATTTATATAAGACATATTTCTATTACCTAAAAGATTAAACCTTCAAGGGTGGTTCCGTGGACCCCTTCAACCCCCTCCCCCCCTGGATCCGCCACTGATTCACAGTACTATTTCTGTTTTTCAAACTCAACACTTGTAAACAGCAGAACTGATAAAACTGAAACAATCTTTCTTCACAGTAACAACTGCAACCCAAAAGAACAAAAAATACTCCAGTTTTAGAGTTCTCTATTTCTCAGGGTTTGCCTTGATTCATATTTTCCAATGAACATAATTATATCTGTGGAACATTAGAGTGATTTTACTTTACCTGTGAAAGAATAGTCGTCACAAATTCCATTTGTTTTCTTTTGTATTACATGGACTGTTATCACAAATTATACAACTTAAAAAGTTGTAGATTCTTTACTTTACCAATAGTATTTGTTAATATTTTGACCATGAAATAAGTCTAATTCTGAGTCAATCAGCCATAATCAAACAGCAGCATTGCACAAATTTGGAAATAAATTATCAGGCCAGAAGGAATTAGGCTTAAAAGAAATCAATATGTAAATGAGTCTAGGGTTCATGGGGATACAAAGGTCAAAAAGATACACTTATTTCAATAGTTAGTCAACAAAAACCTAGAAAGCTGAGATCACAGAGCATCATGGGAAAGTTTTCATATCAGAAAAAGCATATATATACAAAGCTTTTTTAAATACAAACTGCAGTTTGATGATACTCAGAAGAGGTGAGACTGTAACTGGTAAAAGATTCGCAAGTCCATGAACAGTTATCAAGCGATTGAAAGTGTAAAATGAATCTACTCATAGTCCTTGTCGGCCTCAGCTTTATAGCTTTTCAGGTGACTAACTTTATTGAAATAAGTGTATATAGTCACATCATTTAAAGCCAATCCTCAAGACTATTCCTCTATGTTGTTGTACTCTGTCAGCATATCTTCACTTAACTGACTGTAGGTTACCACTTGCTATGTAGACTGCAGGCTTAAATAACCATTACTACAGCAATAGTGTAAATTACTCTACTCTGTTACGTACAAATCAAAGACACTAAACCCGTGAAATAGATGCTAGACTAAGACATTAGTAGACCCTAATTCCAGTTTTCTCTTTTGTGTCTATTTGACTATTACACATTGGCTAACGTTTCACAGGTTAAGTGCCTTCACTTTAAACACTAGTAGTAAATGCTAACACAAATCAAAAGAAACTTGTGAAATTTACATTAGTTTATTTTCAAGCTATTACAGCATTCATCACAAAATAAACTTCACATAGAAAGGTTTCCCACATAAGAATACCATGCCTTAGAAAACAAATTGGCACATAATCACACCATCATCAATAAGAAACAATTCTACAGGGCAAAGAGGATTAAAAAGGCCATCATAAGACAGAAAAGACCCATAGCCTCAGACAAGGCGAATCCTAGAATAGCATAGGAGAAAAGCTGTTGCTTGAGAGATGGGTTCCTGGCATAGCCAATGATAAGGCTACCAAACACTGTTCCAATACCAGCTCCGCTGCCTAGAGTCAAAAGAGAGAGATAATTAGAAAGAAAATTAAACTTGAACTGCTTTCAAATGAGAAGTGAATATAAGGGAATCAAGCATTCGTGCGGTAGACAATTGTGCTAGGTTGTACCTCTAAGAGGATCTTACCCAACTGTAAATACAATAGAACGAGAAACAATACAAACGAAACAACAGAATGAATTATCAACATTTTGATATATAATATATAAGAATTTCTAGGCAGAGCTTAAAATGACAGACAATCATTAGACAATGTCTGTCGAGAATTGGAACTAGTCCAGTCAATTCTTTGCATTGCTGGTCATTTGACCACCAACATTGAACCAGAAACCAGGTTAAAACTAATTTGGCCAGTCAACATGACTGGTCGTTATTTTCAACCCTGTAAGATAAAGCCTGTACATACCAGCAACACCAACTGTTGCAGCACCAGCGCCAATAAACTTGGCAGCAGAGTCAACATCCTGAACTGCAGAAGTTGTCTGGAATCCACGGCTTACCAGAGCTCCTAATGATGATTGCTAAAGAAGATGAGAGATTATAAGAAAAAAGGATTACTTTGTTTTTGAATGAATAGATATTGCAATGGATAATGCAAAAACACAGTTAGGATTAGGAAAATGTACCTGTTTTTGTAGTAAATTATCATTTTGAGCACCTATTGAAAGGTCAAACAATATTAGTGATTTCAAAAAAATATTTTTTGTTTACAAATAAATTAACATGTAATACATCATAATTTAGAATTATTCCTATAACAACAAGCACATTCACACCAAGTTTGCTACATCACAAAAGATATATATCAAGATACAATCAGGGTTCGTGCTGAGTTAACCACTTAAAATCCAAGGACTATTCAAGGAGTATACAAGGACCCAAAAATGAATTTTCAAGGAGTATGTTCAGCTAAATATGCCAAGGTCTTACATGGTGGTTGCACATGGCCAAGTTTCAGATTTCCCAATCTTTCTGACTAAATCTATTTCAGAACCATGCAAGTAATGATCAAAGCAAAAATTCAAGGAGTTTTCAAGGAGTTTAAGGAGCAGCATCAACCCTGTATAATGTAACATTTGCACTAGAGCAGTTTTAGTGTCACTGTTGAAAATTCTTCTGATTGGAAGACCAATGACTTCATGCAAAGTTAACGTTTTCAGATATAAATTCTGTGACAGGACTGTGTCATGTGATGTGCAGGGTAATGTGTGAATTAGGTTAGGTAGCATTTATACCTGAAATTTGTGATGAGACTATTGCTCTTGATAGACCGACCATGCCCCTGTTGATCAAATGAGTATAAGAAGTTAGACCACTTTAGAAACTTTTAAAAACCTATATCTAATTCTCCTGGTGCTTTTGAAAGAGAAATCTAAACTGAAAGAAAAGTATACTTACCTAGCCTGAGTTCCAGACTGAAATAGAAATAAAGAAATAGTTAATGTTAATACTCCTGCAGTAATTTTTTATAAGTTGGTTGCTCAATCTCTACAAACATACATGGCATTAGATTTTTTAAATAATGTGAAACCAGTACAAAGTTTTTATGCAACTGCAAAAATTTGGCTTGTGATTTTGTTCTATTAATTCAAATCTTCAAGGCGAAGAGTATTTGATGAAAAGTGCTTTAAGTTTCTGGAGAAAAGAACTCCACATAAGAACCTAAATGCCAATAATGCAAATTGTCAGTATATTCATATCTTAAAATTGTACAATTTTCTATTTTGTACAATGACTAGAAGCTAGGTTTCTTTCCAGCAAAAACTAAGAAACAGAGCTCAATTATGTATTTTCAAAAATATGCAATTTATCTTACAGTATTGTCAAAAATATTTAATCTTTATTGGATAAAGTATTTGAGAGTTTTAGCTTTCCGTGTTATCTCAACAATAGTCTCTTTTACAGTTCCCTGATTTATCTTAGAAGGTAGCCATGCCTTTGTAGCAAAGCGAGATGAACAGTGAGTCTTGCAATAATAGAGATCTTTTTTAACACCTTGGACAATTATTCATGTCTCTATCATTGCAAGCTCACCGTTCATCTTCCTTGGGTGCAAAGGCATGGCTACCTTTCAAGAAAAGATCAGGAAACTGTGAAGGGGGATATTGGATCTTTATAACTTTCACATCAATATGCATGTTTTTGATTGGTTCACACTATGTCCACTACAAGAGCAGCGCACACTGCTGATGTTGCCTGGAGCTTTTGCAAACAAGCATAGGAAAATAGGAATTTTCTTCCTATGAAATATGACCAATCTTCTTCTTACATAGCTTTTGTACTTTTGGCATCTCTTACATGCTATATTACTGAACATATCATGGAAAAAGCTGTTTAATTTTAACTGCAATGGCTGGAAGCCTCTGCTGCATYTGTATACATTATCATGTGCAAGTTTTTATTCAAAATTTTTTTTCAGAAATGTTTAACTATTTGTGACAATCAAAATACACTAATAAAATTATAAACCTATTAATTTCATTTGTGTAAACATTTTTATAAAATGTAAAATTTTCCCCAAAGCAAACACACCCCTATCACAGAATTTTTAATAAAATAATTGGTAGCATTCAGATTTGCAGAAATAATTCACAATCTATATATTAGTTAGTTAATGTAAGAATTAAGTAGTTTCTTGACATTAAAATGGTCTCTTTCTACAAACGTTGTTCTAGTTGTAAGATACGCTAGATATTAACCGGCTTCAACAAGAAAATGGCCTAGCCATTTTATGTAAGAGCATGAAAAAATTTCTTTAATGCCCAAAAATGAAGTAAGAAAGACTTAAAGAATATTAACCAAAATCCAAAATTGAAGGAATTATTATATATAAGGAGAATTTATTAAAATCATCAAGAAAATTCCACGTCAATCCAACATTTTAATATGACTACTATATACCGGCACCTCTCTCAATTTCGACACGTGCAAAGTCCTACCAAAAAATGTAAAATAGTACCTTCGTAATGAAATAAGGACTCTCGCAGCAGCTTAAATCTTTTAAAATGCAATGATAATATTGGGAAAGAGAAGGAAATTAAGTGAATAAATGTGAATAAGACCTTCAAACGTACCTTGACCAAAGCTTGTGACTGAGGACGAATGGCGGCAGTCACCAACGTGCGACCACTGCCGACCTGACAAAAACCCACACAAATCCATCAAAATAAACCCAAAAAACCCTGCAAACAAATGAAAAGCAAGACTTACGAGATTCCTAGCAATGGAAGAGGTAAATTTACTACAGGTGAACATGGTTATTGTGCAAATTCTCAGTCCACAAGCCAAAGACTCCTCGTGAAGTATTTCAAGATGGACGGCGAGGAAGGGATCGATGCCAACAGGGCACTATGGGTAATCCACGGGCCGTGATGCATGATGGGAAGACCGCCTCGTTTTCGATCGAATGTGAAGTATGAGGCGTGGAACGCACAATAGAAAAATAAAGAAGGTATTCTGCTGGAATTCTGTATTTATTTGCACGTCCTATAGACCCCTTGCAGCATGCAGCACAATCTGGGGGACAAAACAATAGGTTCCAATTCTCAGTAGATTAGAACTGTTTTGTTTTGTTCCACAGATCGAGCTCCTTTGACGTCACATGCAAGGGGTCTTTAGTGAATATGGAGCTGGTACAACTGTACACTAGCATTTAAAGAATTGGTGCCTCATATATGAAAAGGCAAAGAAAGAAAGATTTGCAAGATGAATGTTATAATGAAGGATGAAGGATTTTTTTGTTTAGAAAAAGTAAATAAAATAAAAAAAACAAAGAAAGAAAAAGAAAAGGGAAAAAAATGAAGGAACAAAGAAACGCGAAAAGAAATTAAAAAAGAAAGGAAGGAAGGAAAATAAAAAGGAAAAAAAAAGAAAAAAAAAACCTCAGAAAAAGAAAAGGGAAGGGAAGGAAAATTAAAGAAAAAAATCGAATGTCGAGCAAGGGCAAGTCGTTGGAACGGGTACGGGTTGCGTACTGGCTGACCCTAGCGAACGGCAACGTCCCCTGTGATTGGTTAGGTTTAGGGGCGGGGTTGGGGAAAGGTCATTGTTTTCTATTGTTCTACACGTGTGCCCTCCATTAGGATCACATCTTTCAAATTCGTGAAGGATGACCCAGTTGTTGACCCCGCGCAGGGGACTGGAACGTGTTGGAGGGAATTAGAACAAATCACTGCTGTAATCGTATCGTGATTTAGGCTTTTTGTTCACTCATTCAGAATCGAAAAACGGGGGAAAACTGGCTTTACCATGACCTGATGCCAAAAGTGCCCGCGGTTTAGGAATAACCGCCATCGTTTAATTAACGGGACCAAGATATGCACAGCCGAAGACGCCTGGGTTTTTTGTTTTCGCCTCATCAAAAAAATCCTATAGCTCAGACTAGGAATGTTATTGATACTAGCCAGAAATCAGTGATGTACGGCTTTAGAAGTACTAGTACGTCTGGGTTCACTATGGATTACTATGTTTTGCCCACTTCAAACCACGTGTCATTCTTTTGAGAATAAGATTCTTTGTTTGTGTCTTCTCGTGTTCAACCGTTAAACAAAGAAATAATACTCTAGAGAATGACGCGTGGTCTGGAATAGGAAAGGGATAAGGTCTATTTCAGGATGAGTTGCCAGGCCAGAGCTTCATTTATTTCATGTCGTTCGCTTTTCTTACAACGTAGCAACCACACCTATAGTAAAAATTAAACTTGGGTGGCTCAGTGTGTTGTAATGGTTTTAATGCTCGCCTCTTACCACTGTGGCCCGTTCTAGTCCCGGTTCGGGCTGGAATTAAGTTTGTTTGATGTGTTGTTCTCTCCCTTGACAATACGTTTTTCTCTGAGTTCTCCCGCGGTCTTCCTCCCTCCGTGAGTTGAGTGTTGTATGTCGTAATTACAGCATGTATTAGTGCAGTGCGTGCAGTGCGTAGCGAACCCCACGGAAGAGTTCCGTACGGGGAGTGATATATGGTTGTGAAATATGAATTTATTAATAGATTTATTTTACGTATAATTGATTTATCTAGCTTTATTGCATGCATCCCTATTGTATCTCATACTGCATATTATTGATGTGTATTTTTATCAATTTAAATGAAGATATATTACTATTTTTATTTATTATCATAAGTAAATAAAATCCACGAAATTGAGTTATTCAGAATATGCATCCGGAAACACTAAGCCTTCCGTGCGTTTCCAGCCACGTAACTTCGTGAAGCTCAGAAGGTTGTTTCGGATAAAATCTTAACTTCAGTATACTGAGTTTCTCTCATGGTCATTAGAGTTACCTATAGCTTATCTATGTTGAATATCATCATAATATTTTTTAGTCTCCTAATTTAAAGTTCTTCTTTTTCTGCATTCTTCGTTGACTTTGCAGTATCAGTACTTTCCATTTCTTCGTCATCATGTACTACTTCATCAGCAGTCGTTGTACTGTTTTGGCCGTTGCTTGCAATTGTATGTGCATCAGAAGTGTTGTTAACACTGCTACCTTCTAATTCCATTGCGTCCTTAGCAAACCCAATATCCATGTCGAGACCGTCAAAAACGTCTTCGCCATATATTCGTTTTAACGCCTTTAAAAAACTAGAATACTTTTCTTCTGGGACCAGATTTTCTATCACATCAGCTAAGACCATTTCTCTCTCCGATGCGAAGGCCTTGTCTGTCATGGCGTCCTCAAAAAAAGTTGTCAAAGATTTCAATGCTCTCGTCCAAGGTATTGGTTCCCAGTCCAAAAGGAGTCTAGCTCGACTGATATCTAACGGTCCTTTAGTAACTGTTGGATATGTGTACCAAGCTTGATCTTCGTCTGTTAAAAAGTCTATATCCTCAACTTTCAATTGTCTACCAATGTCTGTCAAGAGTGACTTCAAAGTGAAATATTCTTCAAAAGCAAAATTGATTGCTAGATCGTAAGCTTTAGGACCAGCCTCGATAATCTTCTGTACTGCTTTTGCTGCATCTTCAACGTGTATCAGACTAAACTTAGTATCGGAAACGCCTAGAGGAAGATGGACTTTCTCTTTTATAGCCTTGTGAGTTTGAATCCATATTTGGTATGTCCAGAATCGGAATGATCCATCGCGTGGTCCAATCACATCAGGAAGTCGAAGAGCCACGTATGGAAAGCCACCCGCTTGACGCTGTTTTCGGAGAACTTCTTCGCATGCGAGTTTTTCGTGCCCATAAGTCTCTGACTTTCTTAACTGCATTCTTTTTTTAGCACTTTTGGGTCTGACTGCATCTTCCTCTCTAGAGGCTGCAACGTGGTCTTTCTGGCAGACTTCGTAAATAGAGTCAGTACTGATGTAAATGTAGAGACCAACTCGATCTCGTAATATGTCGGTAACTTGTTGAATCTGTTTGGAAGTGTATGAACTAAAATCTATGACAATATCGTAGTATCCAGAAGTTAGCAGCTCAGGGCATTCAAGCTTGAATGCTTTGTCTCGATCGCAAGTAAAGTGGTAATTAACGTAAGGTTGGATTCGTTCTTTGGAGTCAAAATACCAGTTACCGCGATTGACTAGAGTGATGTCATAGCCTTTTTCAATGAGTTCTTTGACGACTTCACTACCAATGAAGCCGTTCCCGCCAAAAACAAGAACACGGCGTCCTTCCGAGTTTTTCTCCTCTGTTGATTCTTGACCATCGATACTTGAAAATACCACCACGAAAAGAAAAAATAAAGTTAATAGCGATTCCATCTCTAAATTGATACCTGAGTCTGGTATTACTCTTGTACGATAGAGTCGCTTCATTTAGTGTTTAATTAATATTGTCGTTCATTTTAGTATTCTGTGTTAGCACAGCTTTCTACATATTGTAAAATGATTCAAGATTTGGCCTATCATTTGGTTGCACGCCTAAAGTTTAGCTTTTAGACAAATCATCTATCATTACGTCAATGAACTCGACGAGCTAGAAACATGTGCAAAAAAATAGCCTTTTCCTCTCGAGGACGAATTTATATTTTCAAGTGTGTTGGGAAGAAGCAATTCAAACGATTCATCGTTAGGTAGCGTAAGTTGGGTGATTGTATTTGAATATTTTATGTGCTCTTAATACACTGGTTACTGTCTGAGTTATATTAGTTTTCATAATTCGAACGCTTGACTGCATGGGTGAATAATTCTGAAGAAAGACTGCGAAAACGATTATGTAACCACGAAAAGTTGTAACAAAGCACCTTTTTAGGACTCTATTATCTACATATTGTGGTTGCACATTTAGATTTTGTGTGATTAACTATAAAAATAAAAAAAATCTTTTTATTCCAGTGTCTAGTTGTTTTAGCGATTTCTCGGCACTCACTGGGGGACACTTTTTCGCTCTCAAACACACACCATATACATTTGAATATCATCTATGCACAACATGATGATGAACAAAAGAAAGCGGAATTTTTGAGTACAAAAGCGTAGCCCAATTATAATTTGTCGTGGGTGGAGTATTATATTTATTTACCAAAGATATCCAAAGTAACGACGGTCACTCTAGAAGAATCAGAAAATAAAAATTTTATGGCATTTCCTGCGGGATTCCCGATAGCCCTAGGCAATACTATAAATACAAATGAAAAAAAGTACAGTCCTAGCTTTTTTAGAAGGGCTTTGCTAGCCGTTTTTCATCAGAACAAAAGGTTTTGTTTCTTTTTTTTAAAAAAAAGAAAGAAAGAAAGAAACAGCCGTTTGGCATTGCTTCGTATTTGTTGTAACGGCATCTGAACCTCAGGTAAAGCTTGTTTTAAAACCGGCCACATATGATCTTCAATTTTAACCACATTCTAGCTACCACTGAACTTTAAGATATAAATTAAGAATTAACTCTTAAAATTACTGCAGTAGGTTTATAGCATCGTTAAACGAATACAAGCCTTGGGAGACCCCCACGTATCTCATCAGCTCGATAATTTATGCACCGCATTGTTTTTGTAGTTATCGGCGTTCAAACAGCTTGATTGCATCAGCCGTAAAACTCTCCCACTCTGACACGAAATTTAGAGCACCTTATATTCGATGTTTTGGGAGTTTCGTTTAAAAATTTAAGAACGCTGAATAGAATATTTTCAGGAATGGAAAAGTCAATAAATTTACCATCATAAAATAATAGAAAAATGAGTTATTTTTCTTTCCTTTCCGAGTTTACAGTGTATTGTTCCGTCTAAGACCCAAATCTTCAAGTGTGTGCTCACTATTTTAGTTTCTGGTTGTTTCCTAGTTTGTGGGTGATAATGTCCAATATGAAAAATTTCATATGTCACTGATCGCACATCCATATATTTGATGTAACCATTTTTCACTTTAATCCCTTCTTCTCGCGTAATTCAAAAACCGAATTGTATTTCAGATCATTACAAAGAATTAGGATTAAAAGAACAAAGCTGGTTAGAGACAGGTGGTTATAATACAAGCCACGACACTCGGTCAATCATTCGGTCACTCAGCACAAACAATTCTCTCCTTTGGGCTTTTGACTTCGATAATTAATCCCCAAATCTGCTTGAAATATAACTCTCGAGTAGGGATATTAGGTTGTATTAAGTTGTATTGTATGTCTCGTTGTATTTTTATAGTTTTTATCTGCTGAGGTGTGACCTCTGGTTACTGTTAAGATTTTAGCCTCCTCGCGGTACAACGCATGCAAACGTTTCCGTTCACCACTCCTGCTAATTCTCGTTGCCTTTATTTTGGAATTTCCTACCATAACAAAAATTTTTGTTTGCACAGTTTTGGTCCTGTGCTTCAAGTCGCCCCTTCGATTCAAATAGACCTTTTGCAAATTTGCTTGGGTGTATTGTTTTTCCATTTCAGACCACGTGTCATTCCGTTGAGAACAGGATCGTATTAAGGATCCTGAAGCAGGTGGGTTCCCATTTTGACCAAATCCCAGTCCCAGCTTGTTTTGCTTAAATCTCAATCCCATTTTTGATTGTTCTTTTTTGTTTCCAAATCCCAGTCCATAAAATCCCATCTTCCTAGCCCAAAAAGCGAATTCCAGCTCCCATTTTACCCCTTTACAGGATCCTCTTTGTTTGAGTTGCATCCATATTTGTCTTCTCATTCGCAACCGTTAAATAAAGAAATGACATTTTAGGGAATGACACACGGGGTTTGCAATGGTAAAACAAGCGCCCAAGCCAAGAGCCGTCTATTATCAAGGTTGGCTAGCAGCAGTGCACCTATCGCCTCAAAAAAAGAAGGCACGGATTCGGGAAGCACGGGTGGCGTGCGCTGTTAATGTGCCGCCTCTCACCAATACTCAGGAGTTCTGCGCTACTATTTTAAGCGAATGCTTAAGGGATCAAAGAGTGGGACCATGGGTTGTAACAATTGCTATGTTTTGATGCATGTATGCGATCGTTGTCATGTGAGCAGAATAGTTTGTTGGTTCTCTACTGCTATCAACTTCCAAATTCCAAATCGAACTATCGGCAGCCTTATCAATTATGCCCGTCTACCCAAGGTGTAGTAAATGCATTAGAAGGGACAGGTATCGCACTCCATTCCTGGACTCAGTATCACACTCTTCAGTTTTCTAGGTCTTTCCCTTGATTCGAGGGTTTTTCTCCGGGTTCTATGATTTTCCTTCCTCCATAAGACCTAACACCCCCCCCACCAATTTGATCTGCGAGTTAGACGTGCCCCGACTTAGATCACCCCAGAGGTTATTTCAGGGTTTAATCTTTAGACGTGCCCCGACTGAGATCACCCCAGAGGTTGTTTCAGGGTCCGATCTGCGAGTTAGACGTACTGTATGGAACGGTCTGAACCCAGGTTTATCAAATTTAACAATATTTGTATTATGATCATCCGCGTGGATGTAATCCTGAGGACTGTTTGATGTGACTGACGTTTCGACAACCAAATCATCTTCAGAGTCAAGTGAAGAATAAAGTCAGATTGGTCATATTTATACTGCCATGATAACAATAGCCTAACTAGAGTGACCACAGTAAATCCGTGAAACACTAATTACTAAATAGTACAAAATAGTGCTAGTTAAACAATAGAAAACAATTGAATTTGCATGAAATTGTGCTATTTTGTATTACTAAAGTTTCACGGATTTACTGTGGTCACTCTACCTGGATTTGCGTAATTAACGTAGCTCAATCAATCAATAATTTATTTAAACACGTATCGTCCAAGAGCTCATAAAGCTCGTTCAAAATACGAACGTCTACGTACTCCTAGACACACCCCAACTTTGATCAGCCCCGAGGTTGTTTCATGGCTCGATCTACGTTAGATCCTTAGATCTAGTCTCCTACGCAGCCGCAACTAATAGCGGCTGCGTAGGAGACGACTACCTTAGATCAGCCCAGAGGTTGTTTCAGGGTTCGATCTGCGAGTTAGACGTGCCCAGACTTAGATCAGACCAGAGGTCGTTTCAGGTTATCGATAAAATTTAACAGACGAACACATTCCAAGAATTACTGTATTTAACAAAAAAGTTTATTTTTACATGGGACAAACCCTACAAACTTTTTGACACGATATGTACAAGATAAATGTCAATTTTCCTAAACGCCATACAATATATGTACAGAAAGTGAAAGGATGAATAAATGGATGAATGGATGGTTATTTCTAAACTTAAGTATGGATAAGTATAGAAAACGTGAAAGAATACTTATAATATAATGGTTAATACGATTCAATATTCCAAACAATTCAACCGTCTAAATTTACATAGCTTAAATCATCTCGTTTTATCAACAGACTTGAACGTCTTTAACACTAACGACCAACGCGTATCAAAGCAAAGCTTATCAAAAACCCTTAGGTCTGAATAATGAATGAGTATCGGGAATACACTTCTACAAACCAAACAATATAATTTTCAAATGACTGACTATATCAAGACAGTACAAACATTGAATTAAATGTTGTGATTAATAACCCTACATAGCTTACTGCTATTTTCAGCATCATGTCTAGTCGATAGAGTGATTTTATTTTAAAAAAAGAAAAATGACTATTTAGTTAATACTAGTTAATAAAAAAAACAAAAAACAACAACAACAACAAAAAAAACACACACACAAAAAACCCAACAACAATTGGTTTAGAGTCTACTACTAACTATTATGCGTACTATTTTTTCACGGGTTAAATAAAATCACTCTAGTTGCGAGTTGCACGTTGGAATATAGTTTTTCGCTGCCGCCAGTCAAAATGTGAAAGGATACGACCAAATTTCAGCGTGCATCTCGCAGGTACCGAGTTCACATAACATTGATAACCGCAGTAAAACGCTCGTCAAACTCTTTACAAAAGGGTTTCTAACTTTAGTTACAATTTTCTTTTTCTTTTTTTTTTTTTCCGTTTCTCTTTTTCTATTTTTCCCCCCCATAAGGGTCACCTCTTTGCCAACTTAAGGACAATGCCTTTTCTCGGATGATTTGGATCCCCATTGGTTGATTCGTTGTCACTGGTTACCAGTTTCACAGTCCATTCATTCTTTTCGTCATTCTTCTCGTTCATGTCGATGTCACTTGAAGGGCTGGCAAGAGGCGAGCACATTGGACTCATTGACGGTGACATAGGAGCCGGGGAAGCAGGCATTGAAGGCACAGGAGTGGGCAGAGGAGTAGGAAGCTTCATATTCTCCACTTCTTGTTCGGTCAAAGGAAAAGATCGGAGCGGGAAGGGCGCAACTGTCGGCCAACAATCCATATCAGCTGCCTTGAAGAGACTGTCAGTAGACGAAGATCGCCTATGAGACAACTTCTGTTCAATGGATAACGATCGGGATAACAACCCCCCTGATGTTGGAGTTACAGACCCAGGGACGCCAGTGGGTGAAGGCATCATTCCTGGGGTACCAGGAGGGGTATTCTGAGAGTCTTCAATACTTCCAAGCTCGCTGCTTTGTCGTTGGGACCGTTTACGTTTCTTAGTTAAAAATCCCAAGAATCTTTTCCTTTCGTGTTCTTCGCATATTTCGTGTCTTTCGATGTAAAGCTCGTCATCGAGGACCTCTGTTTCAGACTGGAAAAGAATTCATACGGAAAGTGAGACGGGACAGCTGTAAAAAGCAATTTCCTTTTAAAATAATAAGATAACGCTAATTCTTATGAACTAAAGGAACAAAATTGGGAAGGCTGTAATCATTTCCTTCGGAATAAAGATCTTGTTGGCAAAAAAATAAAAAAGGAACACAAACAACAGAAATGACAGACACCTTACACCCTAGATAGTTTGAACACCTTCAAAAAAGAATGTCTGAGCAATACGAGAAAGAATATTAGCGATTGCAGGCGTACCAAGATCTAAGGGAATAAGCTGGCATGACTGTTGTTTCTTATAATTTCTCGTCAAAAACAGGAATGTTAGTCTTGAGATAATAAGTGTTGCTTGTATTGTGGACGAAGCCGTTTTGAACACACTCGATTATTCGTGTTTAGATACACTGTAATATCTTATGGTCTTGGAATGACCTATGACATATCAAATATATCCTGTAACTCAAACAAGCATTCTTGAAATAGGTATATGAACATGCCAATCATATGACGTTGAATCTTAAGCCTCGCGATAATGCCATAAAGCATTAGGCTCATTTTCTAGATATTATGTTTTTTAGAAGAGAGAGAGGGATGAAGCAGAATGAGAACAGAAAGAAGAGTTAGAGGGGTTTCGTGACAGTCAAAATATTTCTGTTTAGCATTTTGGACCCCTTGCACTAAATACCTTGAATAAAATGAATATATTTATAACACCATAAAGGATTCAAATCCTCCAGACAGCATAATCTTTTGTTTTGACCCTGAATTAGGAATTACTGTGGTGTTTGATAATGGTTAAATCTGTTAGCAGAATTTATTACCTTTTCTTCAGACTGTTCACCAGTTGATGTACTCTCAGCAACCTCTAACACACGCCAATTTGGAGTTGGGATTTCTTTGTATTGAAGTTTTTCTACCCTTGTTGAAGAAGCCATCGAGTATGGAATAACGATATTATTGATGTCAAATGCATTACTTGTTCTTTTCTTTCGGAGTAAAAGATTGAGTGTTGATGGTGGCATCGAGTTAGACAGAGGGGTGGGACTTGGTGAAGATGTGGGCGTAGAGGATGAGGACCCAGTTGTTGGCAGAGATAAACTTCTTGCTCGCTTCTGTAGTTGTGCAGCTATAAGAGTTAATACCAAATATTAGTAGCTGAACACAAATAGGGCACTTGCGTTATGGCACCATCACCTACGACTACCAGGATCCCTTGCACTCTTTCTATCGTTTAGTTAATTAGCACCAATTATGAGGAAAAGACCTGCCAAAGACTTCATGTACAAATTTGAAGAAAGAAAATTTGTAAAGAATTTTGATAGTAGTAGTAAAATGCCAACATCATGCAAACAGCCCATTGTACCTAGCTTTAGTACAACTTTCATTCAGATTGTGTATCTTTCCCTTGAGTATTATCCTTTTCAGTTCAAAAAAATGGAATGCAAAAAAAAACCCAGTTCAAATAATTTATCTACATTCTAAAAAGCGTGAAACTGGAAAACAATATGCTTAGCTAACAGGGTCAACAAAATAGTTGAAAATAAACAAACTGAGTTATATACCATATCCATAGTTACAAGACCAAAGGTCGTAATATGAACACTAAAAAGGACCTTAGGGTAGTCTGCTTTGGTCAATAGAGAGTTTTAGATTGACATTCCCCCCCCTCCGCAAATGGCAAATGTTTTCATTGTTAACCTATTTTTCACTTTAGTTATTGTAGACTTTCTCGGCACACACAAATATTCTTTTGTTTATCTACTACTTGGAGATTTTTGGATTCCTTTTCACAAATTTTAAAGAATTTTTACTCGCTGGTTGTTTCACTTTTGCGAAAGTAAATATAAAATTCTCTAATGACTCCTACAGCACTTAGGATATCTGCCTACCAGCACTAATAGCAGCAGCTCTCTTCTTACGTGGTATCTCGGTATGGCAAGAGCGATTTGACTCAGTCTTGATGTTATTTTTAGGTGTGCTTGGGAGACTAGCGAAGCCCCTCTTATGGTCATACTTCTGGTTGCGGAATTCTGTAATTAAATAATTACTGTCTTAATTAAATAAATTTTATTATTCAAGCTTGAGATGAATTCCAAGTATTCACCTCAAGGACTAGAGGTTTGTGCTGTGTGATTAGAGATCTTTAGCAAGACATTCTTGCTAGGTACCCACAAATTTTAAACTGCAGCTCATTGTCAAGTGTTTTCCATTGAATTTTTGACATTTGTGAGGGAGAGCTTTTGACATCATAACAAAGTTGTTGCTGGAAGAGCTGTGGTATTGAGTTTTGTTAATGCTGAGTGTTTTTCCTTGTATGCGGGCATGTTTTGGGCCTGATCCCCTAGAATTTAGTGGTTAATGGTAAACCTTATACTAAAGGTCTTTAATATTTCAATGAAAAATGTGTAAAGCATAATGGACAGAATTCAGTATGACGTCCTGTATATTAATAAATAAATAAATTAAAAAAATCTTTAATTTAGAATGGAATATTTTTCACCACAGCTAAATTGATAACTCACTTGCTGATGATAGTAGTGAAGCTGCAGCTCCTTTTGCCAGTTGAGCTCTTCTATTTGATGGCTTGGGAATTGGTTTTCTGGTAAAATAACATTTTGTTTGGTTAAAACCTTTCACTAAATTATATAAAGATAAATTCTCATATTGCATTCAGTTGTTATATGTTTACTAATGGCTGTGACGTAAGCTATTGTCATTACTGTGCCAACTAGAGATGGATTCGTTAATGAAACAAAGCAACTTGGCAAGAGCTAGAGTGATAATGGTTGGCAATTAACGTCACAATGCTAATGTTTGTAAACGAAAACTAGTGTTATGGTAGATATTTGTTATAAAATCTTATTATGACTGTAAATACTCCATGTTATCACCCGAGGAAACTTATCAGCTTTGTTGATTTTAGACAAGATTAAAGTATTCGAAATTTGTGAAATTAGAGTTATGTTGATCAAAACAAAAATGTAGATCCAACAAAATTAGATGAAAAAAGTATAGGTCACAAATATCAAAAACTATCCCTTTAGAACTAATAATATTAACATCCTAAAAGAAACTATGAATATTGATTTTCTGAATGCTTAATTTGGGTCAAGGGGAATGGAAATAATGTGAAGTGGACATTACTTGGTCAGGTTAACTCATGATAATTTGAGCAATACAGATCTTGTTTTCAATAATCACCTACTCTATTTGCACATTCACATATTTATGTTTTGAACATATTATTCTTGGAAATCTGCCAGTAAATGCAGGGATTTCATTAAGGTTTTAAACAATAGAAGATCATGAACTAGACAGAGAGTCCTGGTAGAATGTTCATTACTGTGTGTTTTTAAATATTCTGCAAACTCAGACATTTCAATGGCTTGCTGTGAAATTAGTTTTTATAGCCACCGGTCATAAATATAAAAGGTACTGACTGATTATTTTTGATTGACAGCGGCTGAAATTCAAATTTCAGTGTACAGCTCGCAACTTCTGAGTTCACAGAATATCAAAAACCACAATAAGTTTTGAAATAATAGAAGAACATGGTAGTTTTAGCCAGATAATTTTACTCTGTTAACAGATCTTTCCCTGGTCTCCAACACTTAGTGTTTTTAATGAAAACACTAAATTATTCTTATTCCTTATGCAGTCACAAGCTGTTTTTTTCTAACCTTCTACTTAATAAACACCAAGTGATTGTTGAAAATACTATAATATCTAGACATGTGCCATGGAAACCAAAATGTTTAGATCCAGATAAGCAAAAATATTTACCAATAAATCAATTCTTTTTGTTTTGGAAGGTTTTTCAATACTGATTTGGAATTAAAATCCACAAAGATCTCTTAAACTTTGATACTCTTAGCCATTATTGAACACATAAGTATTAATACAAGATGACATCATCAGACTGAAATGTGGTATTACAAGGCCTTATCACTATGGCAACATACCAGCTGCACATCCATTAAATATAACACACTGGAAGCCAATACATGACTTAATCGCAGTCCAATTAACTAAACTAATATCAAAATCATTAATGGAGAACGTTCTAGAGATTACATGGTTATTATTCAATATCTCCTGGTTATTAACCCTTTGGACACAGTAGAAAAACGGGTTCTACTTGTGACTTTTATGCGTTAATAAGCTTTATATTTCATAAACAGGCTTTTTGGGGGCTGATTAACATAATACCAAAATTCGGGGAAACTTAAGGAACGCACATTTGAGATATAAAACCCTGAACATTGGGAGAGATGATATTTTGATCAGCACAAAAACTAAAATTTTTGCTAATACCTCGAAGTAGAGTTGCTCGAGGTTAGCAGAATTTTGTGAAAAGTTTAAAGCATAAGAGACACGAATAAAACACTAAATGTTTTTTAGCATGAATGAGAGATAAAGAAAAAAATTGCAAAAGTAGCAGCCTTGTCGTTTTTCTGCTCTGTTGACCCTTCATGCTTAGTTGCTTGATGAATGGAAATTGAAAATTCAAGCACCTTAACTACATCCTATAACAGTCAATATTTACTTGAAATAGCCACTTCGAGATCATTAACATAGCTCAAAAAAATTTTTTCATTTCTTTGTATCTATTGGCATATTTTAGAATTTGCAAATATCATTCAGCTAATTTTGGTTGAGAACCAACTTCTTTACTTCTTTACTTCTTTACTTCTGGCTGTGAAATTTGGTACAGCAATATAAATGGCTTGAGTTATTATCTTTGAGAAAATTTGAATGAGGTCTGCAAGACCCATATCCCGACTGAGAATCACCCTAGGGGTTTTCTCAGGGACCGTTTAATTAATCAATATTTGATGTTATTTTATCAGCTCACTGAACATCTCAGGAGAGATAACTAGCTAAAAACTAGTGTGAGCTGCGTCGGTGTTTCCAATGAAACAGTAATGATGAAAAGGTAAATTATACACCGTGAAAAGATGGAAAAACTGACGTTTTGGACGCTAGTCCTTCGTCGGAGCATCTCAGTATAAACCTTATTGAACAACCAAAACCTTTTTATCACCCAAAAAGCATGACCCAGAAATGATTAAATTGATAAAAACTTCATAAAACTCCAAAAATAAGCCCATTAATAAACCACTCTATTGTTTTAAGACGAAACATACATGTTCGGCAATTAAAAGCCCAGGGCCTATTTTTGAAGGTTTACAATATGGTAGTGGTTGAGAATAATAATGAGTCCCACTCACTTTCTTTCATTCTGTGCGGATGACTTTGGTGGCTGAGGTTTGGTTCTGGATTCAAAGCCACCTTTCTTCAGGATGGATGCAAAATGAAACTGTAATGGTATTTCTAGAAAACACAAAAATATTTGATTTCATGATACTGAAAACATGACAATTGGAGGAAATTGAGGGAAATCACCAACACAAAATTGCTCCCAATTTAGTCGATGAAATTCAAACTAAATCAAGATCCACTAAAAATACCATCGCACTGGAGGAAAGTGAACCAAATTACCAATATGAGGCAGCAATTAATTTTTCTTAATAAGCAAGACATTTGTCAGGCCAGAGGCATATTTAACCTCTCAAAACCCAAGTATGAATGGTCAAATGTCTGGCCAAGGCAAATCATTTACCAGTCAAGTGGTCACTTTAACTGGACATTTGTCCAATGACTGGCACTCTTGTTTGCAGCCAGGTTTAAAACAAAGTTTTCACACAAAATTCACATAATTTAGGATTGCTCATTGGCTTTAACTGCAGTCAATTTCACGATTGTTATTCTCTTTTCAATAATAATCTCGTTTAAATCTCAATACCTGTAGAGAATGACAAGACAGGATGATATGAATGGTCCAATAGTTTGACACGTTCTGCAATAGGCAGTGCTGGATCGACTACAGTAATAGTTTTGGCCACTTTTGTACAGGAAATGCAAGGTGTTTCTGGTGTTGAGCACTGACAAGATGACTCTCTGTATTTGCAAGTTTCTTTTATGGCAGAAAGACGCACCAGAGTACGATTGTGAACAGGGTTTATCCCTCTAGTTCTTGCACACTGTGAAACAAAATCATTTCCTGAAGTCGTTCCAGAGATTTTGTTATCTGCTATGTCATTTTTGATACCAGACGTGCGCAACCTTTTGGAAGGTATGTCACTTTTCTCAATCACAGAACTTTGCAGTAATGTTTTCTTTAATCCATTTCTCAGGTGGTTTTGAGGTTCTTTGAAAATGTTCAGTTTTAATTCTGTAGACTCTGACAATGTTGAGTTGTTTTTTGTTGTTGATATGCCATTTGCAGTAGTTGCCAATTTTATGTCAAGGTCAGCCATTGTGACAGGAGCTTGCAATTTCACTGGCTGCTTAGAGACTTGAATATTTTTGTGCAYGTCTTCATATTTTCGGATCTGTCTTTCAAGATTGATAATTTGTGACTGTAGCCAGGCCCAGCGTGAAGAAATTTCTCCCAACTCTGTTTGATAGGCCTTTCTCAATGATTTTGACCTGAAATAATATTGCATAAGGAAATGGTTAGAAAGAAAATGAARTAATTATAAGAATATATTAGTGCAAAAAAATAAATATTTTTTGGTATTTAATAAATCATTGAGGTTTAAGATATAGACATGCTTTTCTAACAATACCAAATAGTGAATTTTTATTCATTTTGCTTTAAAGGATGTTTTTCTACTGTGGACAACCAAATAAAAGCAGTTTTTGAAACAGAAGGGGTTATATTATCTATGGCATACAAGATTTTTAAGGTTTTTCTCATTGGCCATTCACACACAAGCTCCCACAAACTTTTATTTGTTTTTTAACCTTTCAAACAAGTTAGACAACTACAACACCAGTTGTATTTGAATATTTTCAGGGGATCTGTGTATTTTTTTATACCATTTATTAAAGCCATAAAGCTTGGGCCTATAGGCTTTTTACTTAAATTAGGCAAACATTTATTCCCAGTGAAAGAAATGTATGAATAAAATTACAAACAAAATGATATGCAGATTTATAGTCCAGTTCACCCACACAGCATAATTAATTCATTGGACTGTCTTTGCAACTACAAATTCAAAGCTTAAAAACACGATAAATTTATTCCTATATAACATTTTTAGCAAGCAATTTTTTTTTTTTGAAATCATGAAAACGAAAAATAGAAAATGAAAAGATGTGGGGGAATAAAAGAAAGAAAATGATAATTTGAGAGGATGTAATTTACATCGTGAACAAAAGCTGTTTTCAGCCCTTGATGTTGTTTGCATATATTTGAGCTGTTCTGGAGTTATAAAAAGCAAGATGACATATGCATAAGCAATTTCCTTATATTGAATTCGTACAAGAGGAAAATTATAATATCAATCCAGGTGGAATTCAAGACATCCAAGAAATACTGGAAGATAAAGGGAAAAGTAAAACGATCTCCGAGGCGTCAAAGACAACATTTTTCACAAAATACTTGTGCCACAAGATCATATCTTTTTAGGTCGAAAAAAATACTATTAAATTCTTTATACGTAAACCCTCACCCTTGTCAAAGGAACGATAGTTAAATTTTCTTCCCGCCCGCTTTTAGATTTCAAGGCTTGTATTGTTTTGATGCGTGGGAAATTTAAAATGTCATCATGAAGGGAGATACGACTACGAGTTAGAAGAGTAAAGAAAATATTTTGAAGTAAACAACTACATTCAGAGATTTTTATAACCGATACTGGAGATTCTGGATGAAATGAAATCGAAAACGAGAAGGCATTGTTCGCGTTTGTCACACAAAAAATGCTCTCGAAGGGTATACAAGGACTATGTAATTCACTAGGACGAACAACAAAGCCAATCGATCTGTCAGCCAGGGATTTCTTGAAATATACTATTGACAATATAATTGGACCCTTGAATGATTTTTCTTATGTTTTGTAGTACTTACACATTAGATCGAAGCAAATCTGGTCGATTTTCCTCTTCTTCGCTTTCGTCTCCGGAGCTGGCCTCTGTCGCATCCGAATCATACATCGTTTCCAAATGCTCTACATAAGCAGTTAACCCATCCACTAGACTTTCTGTTTCGAATTTTTGCCTTTCGCCACTCAGGGCATTCCTTATTGCTTTGTTAACACTTTCTGGAGAATATTTGACCGCATTTTCGAGCTGATTTTCAGTAGGATTACTGTTCGATGAAGCGTTTCTTGGATCTTTGGCTTGATAAGTAATTGGGCCATTGTCAGTTTCATGTGATCGTAAAGCACTCCTACACAATATTCCTTCTTTCTCAGTATTCAGGTTTGGTTTCGTATCTCCTCCTCCAGGAAGGGAATCTTCCTCTCCTTTCGAAGAACCAAACGATGACTCGGATTTTCCGTTTATTTGATCGACGATCCCGTTCAATTGGCGATGCACATGGGTTTCAATTTGCCGCGTTTGCAGTCTCCGGAGGCGTTTCTCGAGCTTTTTCGCACGGTTTTCTAACCGAGTTTGTCGCTGAACCGATCTTGCAGTTCTCTGTGAAATAGCCGCCAGAGATGAATTAAAACTTGCTACAGGATGTTTCTGTAGACGGCTATTTTTCTCGTCTTCCAGTTCAATATTACAAGCACCCGCCGGTGTTAACGTAGTAGCTGTACTTGAAGCACATGCTCGTCTTGAAAGATCACTAGGAATGGCGGGCTTTCGCTTTTGGCTGTCGCTTTGAATATTTGCTGATTTGGTCATGTCAACGACGTTTTCTTGAAAACTAACACAATGTCCGTTTGGCATGTCCTCTTTTTTGAACTCTTCTTCGTTGCGTATTGAACTTTTGGGCGGGGAAGACAAGCACGACGACTGCTCTCCAGTTGTATTCGTAATGTTATTACTACTATCTGAATCGTCGAGCAATCGAACGAGTCCGTTTCGAGAGAGCAGCGTTAAATCAACTCCTTTACTAATAGAGTTTTGTTTTAGATTCTCTGGTATCGTTGACGAACAGTACCGATCCACAGAATTTTTTCTCGGCGACCCGGGAGACGCGTTTGCCTCGGTGAGAGCAGGAGCCATTTGCGCCATCGACTAGAGTCTCCTTCACGATGAACACGAGCGATGAAAATACGTCCACTGTGAACGCATTTTCCAAAGCACTGAGCGGTGGAAAATTTCACCAGGTAAATCTATAACAAGTCTTCTTTAACTCAAAATTGTCTATTTATGAAGTTCACAAACTCGAGGGGAGGAAACAATTTTTTTTCGCGATGAAAAACACGTGACCGCCACGTCTCGACAGAACGTGTTCTAATCCCTCGCTTTAGAACAACCAGGATGCTTGATATATGCAAAACAACCAATTTTTATCAGTCGATTTTCAGCCCGAAAGAGGTTCCAAAACGTCCAGATGAAACTTCAAAGCTTGAGATGGATAGGTGTAGAGACGTTTGACAATATTTTGGGGCAATTTCCAACGAAGAAGAGAGTCCCTCAAGCGAAAATCTAAACACTTTCCCGTCGTTCAATATGGCGGCGTAAGAATCCACAGAGTTCTTGTACAACCAAATCCTCGTGCAAAAATATCCATTGCCTTCACCCTTGCATCAATACTCCTTACCCCCCTATAGCTACTCATTCCTGATTGGCCCAGAACGCAGGAAGCCCATCAGCTGACAGGAACCCATAAGGAGAAAGTATTATTTGATCATTAGGGATAAAGTCCATATTTACAAACGATGAATACACGCCTCCAAAACGCTTGAGATGACTATTTATTCTTCTCGATTAAAATATTCTAGATCTCCAGTGAATCTGAAACAGGAAAAAATTGTATGAAATCGTTAATTCCGGGCAAAAGGGAGCTTTTTACTATCATTATTATTTGTTTCTAAAGCACAAGAGAATCTTAAAATTATTTAAACAATGCATTTGAGCCCACATGAGGGTTAATCTCGTCATTCCCACGTGGAGCCAATATTCATTAGTTTTTAGAATCGACCCAATCCAAAGAAACTGGAAATTTAGGCTCATAATATTAATTTTATTCCAGATTTTTTATACTGCCGTTTGCCAATAATAAACAAATAAAATAAGATATGGGCAAAACACTATAAATTTTGAATTTAGCAAGAAATGGGTTTTGTACAATATAATTTTTGATAATCTTAATCAAAGTAACTTTCGATAAACAATTATTATAAAGATTTGCTTTGCTGGTCTTCATATAAAATTTAAATATTATAAAATAAAAAATTATTCAGCCATAAAGGCATTAAGAGAATGTTATTGAATCAAACCTTATGAGATCTATTTTTAAATGAAAATTCTGAAAACATTGTTATTCTCTTACAGTTACTTTTTGCAGCTAAAATTGCGAAAGTATTTTAAAAGAGTTGGAATTTAGCATTAAATTTAACTCAATTTTGTGAATGTATGTCCTAAGTTTAGTCTTTTACAATTTATACATTATATCATATTTGCATGTATTTGGCACCATATAAATAAATTATTATTATTAATAAATTTGCATGTTTACAATTATATTTTGTAGATTTTTTTATTTTGAATAATTAAGTACTGTATGGATACACTTATTTCAAAGAACGTTGTCATGACTGAAGGCAAAAGGCAATAGGCAAAAAGTGATAGGAGATAGGTCATTCCAACATCCAAGAATAGCTAGAATGACTTGTGTTTCTGTTTCTTATTCTCCTTAAAAACATGGGCCTTAGTGTTGAGACTGATGCAATGCTGTTTGTAGTTGACGACACCATTTCTGTCTCAGAATGACCTATCGCCCATAGACAGCCTTTGGCCATTACAACATTTTTTTTGAATAAGGTGTATGAGATGTCTTTGTAGAAATCAATTTATTGGCTGGGGGCAAGGGAGTGGCAAAAAATTCAATAATAATAATAATAATAATAATGATAATAATAATAATAATATTAATATACCCATAGGTATGACAACAAGGAAGAAAAAAAATGTTTGGTAAATCTGAGAGATTAATAGAAAGCATTGTGCCAAGGAATTTCTGTTTTAGACTTGGAATCAATGGATAACATGTCAGTAATTAGTCAGTGGACAGAAAGGGAGTTAAACTGATTCTACTAACTAACTAATCTCCCACTAATTCTATTATTTCATTTTGTATGTTAGTTATTTTATATTTCTAAAGACCCAGTATATCACTCCAGCATATGATTATAATTCAAACAAAATGCAGTACAATTTCATAATACTATTAAAGGGTAAATCCCGTGGCAAACTGTTTTAGCACATTTGAGCACTGTTGGCCAACTGCATACATTTCTTTCAATTAATTTTCCAAATAAGGCAAAAAAAGTCATTTATTTTGCAGCAAGGAGCTTATGCCTAAATATACACAAATATATTTTAAGTGGTCGTTGATTCAAGATTCCCACTATAACAGAAATATTTTAGCATATGAGGATTGTCCTTGTTCTATGAGGGTAGCAATTGATAGCCAATGACTAACAAATCTGTGGCCCTTATTACATTGCCTGGAATTTAGAAGTTAATTCTTGCAAAGGGAGAAATTATAAGATTGATTATATATGGAGATACAGATTGTATCTTCAAGTGTTGAGGTGATATCTTACGAGTAGAGCAACGAACGAGTAAGATCCATAAGTAAAAGCCATATCTCCTAGGGGCCATTTAATATTCTATTTCATATAATTATAAATGAAATACAATTTGAGTGGATTTTTTCTATCTAATGCGGTTTTCTAAAGAATTTTTACCGAAGGTGTTATTTTCACATGTGAAGATATAACTATTTAGCGATAGAGAAAAATAGATATTACATCTATGATTATTTATATTTCATTGCATTGAAATAAAGCAAAAAAGCTCACATATATGCTTAATTTACAGTGACAAGTGTTTCTGTAAATATCAAAATTTCTAATATTTTTTTAGCTAGAATTGGATTATCTTTTACACCATTATGCTATTTCAAAAAAAATTGCTGATAGGCCGCTGAATTTTAGCTTTTTATTACTCAAAGAAACATGCATCTGTGGTAAAGAATCATCAAGATTCCATTATTTCTATTACTATTGGTCTCCAATAGTAAAAAACATATTGGAAGGTCTGAGGCAAAAGTAGGTAATTCATTAATATATTAGAGGAAAAGAAAGTCTGATTATGTTTTTGGTTTCACTTTCATTACCAAAGCCATATGAACCACAATCTAAGCAACACTTAAATTAATACCTTTTTACATTTTTGAGGCTTTTCTAGAATTTATTTTCAAGGAATAAAATTATGACCAAAATATTTGTAGATTTTCTGTGAAAAAATAATTGTTTTACTTCAAATCATAAAGAATATGATTTCATTTTCAAATTTTGACTTTTTGAGATAGCATTTATGCATTTTTAAAATAAAAATATGATAGCATAAATTTAGTATATTTTTTTAATGGGACAAAATTTTTGCTTCAAAAATATTCGCAACCTGTTTACTTCTAAATTTTATATTTTCTCACTGGGTTTCCTGTGGTACTATAAATATCCCTTACAATATGGAAATGAGCCAAATGTATTGTAATCATTATGCAAACGTTGCAAAAATTTATTTTTAATTGTGAAAAATATCAGAATTATACTTTTAGACAAACGAAAATCGTTAAGATTAAGAAATTTATTTTAATAGTGATTCAATATTCATTGAAATGTATTTATTGTAATGTAGGCGCATGAAATTAAATAAATTAATGGATAATCGATTGAATATCGATTTCAGCTCAAGCTAGCTTGTTATCAAGTGTTGAATATTTTATACAGAGAAATTTCTGAAAAACTTTTTTGCTACCTCGCTTGAAATTCAAATCTCTTTCGATTTGTTAATGGAAGAGGGTTTTTACAATGGTTACAGTGTTTTAAAGAATTTGCATTTCATATAAAGCAACAGGTAAATTTAAATACGAATCAGACATCTGGACTCTAGCTCAAGAATTTATCCTACAAGTCCTTACCTCATAAAGTGCCATATTCGTAGATCCTTTTTTTYCCACCTCCGCTGCAGTAGAGTGATTTTGTGAACCTTGTCACATTATCCTTAACCAAACTTTAGCATAAAGGTTGACCTATGTTAAAGTTCCAAGTCTGATGGAAATTTTTTCCCTAGTTTTTGAGTAAGCAACCACATATGAGATACTCTCTTTCAAAAAACTTTCCTTCTGCCCCACAAAAAATTCCTTAGTGATCAAAAAAGGCATGTTTGTATTGAAAGACCTGAAGAACGACGAAGAAAATACTTGTAGACCAACTTAGGACTCTAAGTACTTTCACTATCTTAGTCGCTCAACAACCAAAACTATAGGACTCTCTCTTCAGTACCACACTAGTATCCTGGAAACGCTAAATGCAATCGAAAAAAAGAAAAGTATTCCTTACAAAGTAATGTTGCCAAATACTAGCTCGAATGAAACTTAGGAGCGTTAAAAAAGGGCAGATGGAAAGTTTTTACACGAATCACTAAAAAATTTGCCAACCCTTTTCTAAAATTTCTTCTGAAAACAGATTTTTCGGGGGGTATTTTGGTGATACTGCGCAAACTCACATCGATTAATTCCTTTTACGGAAAACCGGAAGTAAAATTTCATCGAAGAAAAGTCACGTACTGACGAAAAAATGCATCAAAAAATACCAAAATAACACTACAAATATATTGTTTAGGGAAAAAATAAGGATTTATTGTGGAGATAAATTAATAATAGTGAAGTTAAAGAGTTTTTCAGGGAAGAATTTTTTCACATCCTCTCTCCAGTCTTCATCTTTTGGCTCTGTCACAGGGAATCCATTATTTTCTCTTAGTGACAAAATAAGACAATTAGATAAATAAAATTCAAAAATTCAATTATAATCTTTATTACACTCATGTAGTGAGTTTTTTTTAGGCGCATTGATAGTTCATATGTCATATATTGGTTAGCCTTTATCATCTGATTATCTGAAACACAGGTGTCAACTGTATACATATACCATTTTTCATTGCCGCTGTTACATTGGCCAGTGTGCCTGGTCCCCCCTTCYTCCAAAAACACTAAAATATTATAATACTACAAGTTAATAATGAAGAACTTAAACACAGTATAATAAAGGTTGTAACAATACTAATGTTTAAAGCCTATTTGACAGAAGAAGAAAAAATTATAGAGTTGCTGTTGGGTTTGCTGGGAGTTTAATGGATGACCATGAGGAAAGAGCATGTTAAGAAGACGTCACAACAAAGAGAACAAAAGTTATTTATCAAAATGAAAAGCATTCATTAATTGAACTATAACCTCCGTGAAGTTTGGAAGTCTGAGTTTTATGAATGAGTTTAATTTCTAATGAGTTTGTTTACTTCTTGAATGTTTTGAATGCCCAACCGGAGTCGTAAGCAACTTAAGAATTAGCCACTCCAAGTTTGAGAAAAAAGCTGGATCAAGTTGGCATTGAAGTGCATTGTGGGACTGCTTAAGGGGACGAAATACACGTCATCTAGTAAACATGTCCCCTAAAACAATCCCACAATGCTTTGCAATCCCTACTTGACCCAGTTTTTTGACCTCCTGATCAACCTTAGAATGGCTAATAATATCTATATTTCAATTTGTCAAGTTACAGTTATGAAATACCTAGGAAAGTAAGTATTGATAACCTTACGATAGTATTTCAAGGGAACTACACAGAAGAATAGCGAAGGGGCAATACCCCACTCAAAGTTTGAATTAGGCCTGTGAATACGATTAAGATTGCCCCCCCCCTGGAGGGGGGGGGCAATCTTGATAAAATAGTGTTATAAATACACTGACATTGCATAAGGAAAATTGCAACTGATTCTTGAATAGAAAAGAATGCCTAATATAGGAGAGGGCAAGAGACTTTTTCCCTCAATCCCCTTCTGCACATATGTACCCATGCTTTTTCGAGGCTAGCGATAATTTTTCAAGCAATTAAAAAAGGCTGGCGGTGTCAACTAATTTGTATGCAAGCAGATTATAAATAATAGAACAATTATGTCAAGTGCTAGCTATATACAAATGCATTTAATTTAATAGGCGCATGATATTCAAACTTTTCTGATGTACACTCCTTTCTTGTCACACATACAGTTTTATCACCAGGACCTAAAGGTGTTTGCTCTAGCTTTGTTTCAAATAACACTGCATAAGACATGAAGAAGAAAATATGTCTGCACCCAAGCTAGACCACAATGCACCATGTTCATTATCTCTGAAAAGGCCTATGGGAGTAGCCCCCTACATAGTAGGAATTTTTAATTGGTTTCAAATATGAGTTGTAGAATTGCCACTCCTGATTATAATGCTCCAGTCCCTTAGTCTGTGTAATGTATTGGGATACCTGTGTTAAACTCTATTTATGAATATAATTACCAGTTCCTTTGTCTGTGTAATGTATTGGGATACCTGTGTTATAATGACGTCCATTCCCTTCGTCTGTGTAGCGTGTTGGGATACCTGTGTTGAACTATCAATGTGGCTAAATGAAATTTAGGCGAAGTTAAAATCGAGACAATGCATGCTGCTCAGCGGTCTTCCCAACAATGTGCGGGACGGACCCAGGGCATTATCAGGGGCTTACTTGCTGTGTTTGCAGTGCTGGTTGAATTGTACCCACAGTTTTTCTCCCACCCTCCCTCCTCTGCTAATAGGTTCTCTACAGGTAAGTATATACTCCACTGAATCTCAGTGTGACAACTACCGGTGGTGAGCTGTGGACCGGTTGCCATGGTTACCTTCCAGCGGGGACGTGATCTGTCGCACGAGCTCCCCGTGGTACCTTACCCCAACTCATTTGTCGATGAGTTAAAGACATGTGAAAAGAGCGAGCATAGCTTATATTGAATGCCAAACAGAGTGAATTTCTACTGAGTTAAATCTGGTGCATCTTGTGTAATCGTTTAGTGTCTACAACAACAGGCACTACATTCTGCACCGCAAATTAATAAGGCTATGCTAAACTGGCCATGGGTGAGATTTGATTGGAGCAGGTGCATGTATAGGCAATTAAAACCATCCATTTAGATAACCAATTTATGTCAGTGACATTGGCAGGGGGTATTAAATATGAGTTCGGAATACATGCAGAATATATCAAAATGACAAATTTCACCAAGATTAAAGGAACAAAGGTAACATGGATTCTACATTTTTTTAATCAAAAAAATATTAAACATGGTTTTGAAGCTTCGTTTCGACAGACCTAAATCGAAAACATTACCGCAAGGTAACCATGTCAACCAAAATGAAAATATATTAATATTTTTCGATAAAATTTAAAATTAAATCCCTATATATAGTGTTGCCTGAAAAATGTTGGCCCCCCGAATTTCTCATGGTCTTCCCCAGTATAAAGCTTCTTTTCTAAAAAAAATAGGAGCGAGGTAACTTTAATGAATGAACCAGATTTGGAGGCGAGCACACTTTTGGCGCGAAATTTACCGCCAACGCCACAGGTAGCCCAACAAACTCTGTCCCCTCATCGCTACGCCCCTGAAATGATGCAGGGTAGACTAATCGGAACACAGAACACCACGCGTATATTCTGCTTTAATTTTGGCTTTACCAGAAAACTGTCAATATCTGACAAATACTGGATTTACATATCCGAACTAGGATAGACCGTACGTTTCCTTTGATTGGAATTGAAACTTATATTTTCTTCTGCTGATTCCCGTCTATGCTATCGTATTGAAGTCTTCTGTTCCTTTCGGCTCACGTTTCTGTCTTCTAGCTTTTCTTCTCCTCGGTTTCTAGCGTGATCGACATGACCTTGAGTCGTTTCTTCTAATCAAGCACTCAAAAAACTAATCCGATATAAGAAGATTTTCTACGTTGGAGGCATGAATTATAGAGGGTCACGACATATAGGGTAATCTAGAGCTGTTTTTCTTAGATATTTTTGCGTATCAAAAATTACAATTGTCATGCGTATTGGGGCAGTGCAATATGCATAGTTGACTCAGTCATACTTAATGAACGATATCTTATTTTATTATGTGCTCAACCCCAGCAAAGCCTGATTCGCTGATTACAAATGCTGGGGTCTTTTAGCCAAGCGTGGGATGTGACTATGTCAGTGGGCTACAATTAGTCTAAGACTTGATTCAGGACTCATATCCAGTCGCTTCTCGCTGTCTTATTGATCTCACAACGTAGTTGATAAGGATTTAGTGAGATTGCGGTGCATCAAGGGAAGGAAAGAAGAGAAAAGCGAAGCCTTCCCAAAAGCCATCGCGCGCGCATTAAAAAAGCGTGAGTGACGACTGGGTACGAGTCTCATGATCATGATCAGTTTTTCCGAGCATATTTTTCATCATTTTAACTGCAAAGATTGGCATAGGTCGGTTAGCAGCCAAGCATGATGGCATGCACTAACAAGACTTTCAGAATAAGCGACGTTTCGTCATGACACAATTATTAATCTAGTACTGAGCTGTTTTACTTAGTTATTATTATTAGTTATTATTATTACTATTATTATTATTTACTTAGTTGAGTTATTAGCAGTTATTCACTTATTAAAATCCCACTTCTGCAATTTTCCCCGTCATTTATAATCCCCCGCGAACATGCGCAGTGCATTTACCCCAATGTATTGTACTTTACTCCTCAGCAGCAGCCAAATAATCTAACTACGGTATAACTTTTCGTTTTCGCAATCAGCCAGAGTATGTGTGACATATTTAGTCTGCTTTTTATTCAGTGCATGTTACCCTAGACCACGCACTTCTCTGTGTGATATCATAGTGAGCCTGGGTGGGCGATTTTTTTTTCGCGGGAAAATGCCGGATCGAGCCTCTGTATCAAACTAAAAGTAACCTACATTGACGCTGAACGTGAATTCCCTCTTCTTATACATAACTGATGCATCCAATTGGTTCCTCTATTTCCACGTACTTCTGCACCATCGCGCGCGCGTGCCCACTCCAATAATATAGCTTGGGCTGCCTGTGGTTAGATGGCAAAACAATAATTCCAACTGGTTACTCTATCTCCACGCGCTTACTTCGGTATTCGCGTCGAGAGAATAGAATCAGTGGAGTTTCAGACCACATGCCATTGCCACTTGATACAAAAGAAATAGAGGTTTTGCACCATCACATGCCAGCGCCCATAATACAGCAAATCCCTTTGCTCTTGGGAATTGGATTCTTTCTCATGTAAAACGATTTTATTGTTTCTGCCATCTAACATGGCTGCCGTCACGTGATGGTGCCCAACCTCTTTTATAATATTCCTCGTTTTTGAGCGTCAACCATATTTATTAATCTTTAAGCGTTAAGGCTGGATAGGATGCATTGAATGGCAGTATGTGATTTAAGTGAGGTCCCCTCTCTCCCTCCCTTCTTTATAAAGACTACCGCAGACCGCAAAGCAACTCAGACTAGCCTTAACAAAGGAAGAGCACTCCAGGAAGCGATTAACGAGATTACTGTAAAACTGGCTTTACTCAAGCAACTTCATCTCAACTTGTCATACTATCTTCTCACTCGCCATCCTAATTATAAAAATACTTTACATCAAACTATTGATTATCAGATAACCCAAAGACCCTGACAATTTTGAGTTGCAAAAGTTGGATATGGACTAAACTGCATGCATGGAGAATGGTTAAGCAATTATCTTGAAAATATCAGTAGAGTTTGACCTCAACCCTCTTGTTTTTTCTTTATTTGTATCGGTTAATCTGGAACTTTTATCAATTGCTAGTGATGAATACGATTGCTGAATGATGTCTTCCACTCTTCAATAGGCTTGAGGCCATTTATCTGAATCATACTACAATTACCAGGATCCTTTGTACGATTTAATTTAGTCACTGTTCATTTATATTTATATTTGATCAGTCACCTTTCTGGCAACCCTCACGAGACAGTAAAGAATTCCAAACGATCTTTCTTTCTCCTTTTCTCTTTTTTCCGTCTTCCTTTTCCTTCACTCTGCTTTAATTCTTTTCTCCCTTTTTAGTTTTAATTCTTGAAGTTATTGGAATATTATTTTCATTTTTTATTTTTCATTTCGTGGACTACAGTTTTGTTGAGAAAAAGTATCCCAGGGGCGGAGCCAGCCAAAGTTATAAGGGGGAGGGGGGGCTTGACCGAATTTTGAGAATGAATCTACAGAACTTAGAAATATGCTTTCTGTTCCACCTCAAGAAGCATACCCAACGCCCTGAAGAGGAAGGGARGGGGGGGGGGGGGGGGGRGGGATGTTCCTCTCCCTAGGGCTGAGTGGCAGGCTGAAGCCTTGGCCTAAAACCAGAAAAAAACGGGCAGAAAAGACCTCTACAAAGCAGGACCTCATATTACAGTACATCTTTCTCTAAACGTTGACTTAGTTAACTTAGAGCCAGGGTGAACCGTTGATGGATTACCCTGTTGAACTCAGTTTTGGACCCCTTTCATTCCCTTTGCTTGTCTACAGACGTTTCTAAGCAGCTCGTGTCCAATCTTTAGAGCTCGTGGAAAGGAAGGGGGCGTGGGGGGAGGGGGGGGGCACGTGCCCCCCACTGTGCACCCCTTTCATACCTTAGTGGTCCCACTATAGTTTGACCCCATTGTGCGGGAATTCCTCAGTAAAAAGAAGCCTAACTGAGAGGCACTGAAGGAACTTCAAGAATGATTCTTAAAATCTGCTGCACATAGTTAATTCATAAGGATCCATAAGGCGTTGGCATTAAGGTTAAAAGAGGTTACTGCAGAAACTTCGCTCCATCATGTTGTCAACAACCTTGTTGATTTGTGCTGTCCTGTGTCCGTAGAGAAAGTTAATTTATTATGTCTAGACTTCTACRAAATTTTGACGTGTCTTGACCATATCCAACAGCGTAGTCACCCGCGTCTCAAGCTAGACGAAGCACTCAACGTTCCTCTTGCCCCGTTGGAAAAAAACTAAGCCATAATTTTGCAAATGGTGGTTCGATGAGCATCAGAAAATTCAACTAACTTTAGAGACGCTTTATTCGCAGCACGTGCACCGACGGCTCTTGGCACTAATCTTGAGGCGATTTTCGCGGGTCAACACTATCTGTTATGGCATTGGTCGGCACAGTAAAAACAATCTCGTGATTTTGATTGATAAAAATCAAGCAGATCATCGAGAAGCAAATCGAATCTATCTAGATTATCTTTCGTTTGGGTTCTCTAAAAGGGCTGGTGAGTTTGTTGCTAGACTTGGTGGACAGCCGATAAATATTTCAATGGATATGATTTTCAACAGTAATCCGGGTGTAAATTTGTTTATTATCATATCAACACTCCAGTTTTACTGCTTATTTTCAAGCTGTGAGAAACAAGGCGGCATCATCGGTGGAGCCGGAGATAAACAAGCCGTCGAACAGACACCGGTCTATTTAGATAAAAACCTCGTAGCTTCTTCCTCTCTGCTTGGCAAAGATGAGCGATATCTCACATATGGAGTGAGCGCCACAGAAGGATTTAATTTGCGACTTGACGTCTTTATTCGAGTGGCGCACTTGGTAAAACTGCTTCCTAAAGTACAAAACTGGACGCTAGTCCTCCCTCCATGGGAACATCTCGATCATTGGAGATCTCCGGTGAAGCAAGAAGGGTTTTCCTGGACAACGTTTTTTGATGTGAAAAATTTAAAATCGTACCTATCGGTGCTAGAAATGAAAGAATTTGCAGGGCATGACCAGAAGAAAGTTGACGAAGTTTTTGTACTTCAAAGTGACGAGAGGGAGTTTCTGTGGAATGGAGAAAAGCTCGATGAAACAGCTTGTTTGGTAGACCCCGGATATTATAGAGATGTGGATGGTTTGTATAAAGAACTTCTGAGAGGTGCCAATATTTGCTCCGCAGGATACAAGTGTCTGTCTGTCCAAGGAACTGCGAAAGTATTGGTGGAAAAGCTTTCTAAATCAACAGCAAAGTAAGTTTAAATTTTAAATTGTCTTTTTTTTTTCGAAAAAGGTTACGCATGCGTAGTTCGGCACTGCTTACGACCCTTAAATGGCTTTCGAGTTCAAAGCAGTATGATTGGCTGGTGTGCTTTTCCCTTTCGTTGATTGGTTCAGAACGCAAGCCATTTTACAGACACATTCCCATATTCCTTCCTTTTCCCGCTAATCCACATCGTACAACATATATAAGTACACAGAACAAAATTGTTCAATGTTATTTCGTACCAAAGGCACATGTTATGGTGATTATAATTGGATTTCAAGTATTCGACTTCCCCTGACTGACCTCCAAGGTTTTGGATATCATTGTTGAAAGCATTAAACAGGCATATTGAAAGCAAAGACATAGTCGTTCAGTTGGTCGTGAGCTGACCTCGCGACTTGAAATAAAACAGCCTGTCTCGCTTATCGTATCGGAATTATTCTCCGACATAGATCCCCAGTACTGGTCATTACTGCTTTTTTCTACAAATTCAGGGTCAATATTCGTGTGATAAAGCCGTAAATAAGAACCATATCAGTGAAGTGATACCGGATATCCCTTCGGTGAACTGGAAATTGTAAATGTTGTCATTTTATCGACCTTAAATGTGTAATCTCTCTCTATATATACCACTACTAACGGCAGAGTCCAAACCAAAGCTCTCATTTTATCGAACTCTAAAACATTCTTTGGGTTGATTTAAGTTAGGGTACATAGGGATTCCTTTTTGGAGGGAGGAAAACTGGAGAATTGAACTAGCGAAGAAAATCCCTTGCCATGAAGGTGGACACCAAACGAACAAACTCTGCTCATGGAATGCTGAGTAAAGAAATCAAGCCCRAGTCCTCTAAGCAATGAAAGATGAATAAGGCGTGTACACTAAACCGTCATTTTCCACTGATAGACGATGCTATTTAGTCTCATAAACACAATCACTATCTTTGCGATTTCCCAAAAATGAAACATCATTCTTATTATTAGCGTTAAGCGTACTTGCAGAAAAGTTTCGCTCTAGTTTAGTTGTACAGTTTTCTTTGGCTTGAACCATCCCAAAAAGGTGTCTAGCTTTTTCAATGTGAGCCGCCCCCCTGGAGATATGCCCAGAGGATAGGTCACTTCCCACGTTACTTTGTTGTTACCGAGGCATAAGGTTGCAAGCATATCTTCAGTAAAATAATTATCGACTCATGAGCCTCAGAGTATATATAACTTAGCTGCGTATTGGTATATAGGCGGTGGAGGCCCCCCTTTTTAGGGTAGTTTTGGATCCTTCTGTATTGCAGTTTGCTTGTTTGATTACTTTCACCTACTCCCTTCCCCCCATTCTCGTCATTTCGTTCTGCCTTCACTGTGCTTACCTTGACCAGAGCCTTTAAAGTGGTCGTATCACTGACTCTGTAAAAATTCAGACAGTTGTGATGTAAAAGAATTTCATCATCGTGTCTTGAGGGCTAATAGACCTTTTTGTAACTTGGGCGCTTTGAAATACTTCCCCATTTCTGACCACGTGTCAATCCCTAGAGTATTATTTCTTTCTTTACGATTACGCATGAGAAGACACGAGAATATGTATACGACTTTAGTCTGGGGCGTAAAGTGGTCTCGGAGGGGGAAGAGGGGTTGAGAAGCACCATTTTCCCGCCAAATTCACAGAAGTCCCTTGAATTTTGGTGCAGAGAGCAAACTTCTTTATAGGGGGGAGGATGTGAGCTAGTGACTCGAGTAACGAAGAATCTTATTCTCAAGAGAATTACACGTGGTCTGAAATAGAAAAATATTATATATATATCATAAATATTTGCCACGAGTTCCGGCACCCTCTGTTATCACCCGCTGAGTGTTTTATGTCAAAGTGGCGGACTTTGATGAAGTCTTCACATGTGGACACCCTTATACTAATCAAATACCGGAACAAGTTTTCACACCCCTGTAAAAAAACAATGTAGTATTAGCTAGGTTTTTTTCCATATTTACTTCTGGCATAAATATATTTAATTATATTTAGAATCGAAGCTGGAATAAAATTGAACTTTAGAGAGTGTATGTTTTATCATTTTTAGTAAACTGATAGATGCCACGACAAGATGACTCCCAATTTTATTTAGACCGATAGTCCCTCTCAATAGGTAATATAAATAATAAGTGTCAAGAAGATGTTTTAAAATTTAGTAGGAATTGTAGTTTATAACAATAAGTTGTACATAAAGTACAAAGTCATCGAGAGGAATAAAGCTTCAATAAATCAGCGAAAAAAGGCCGAGAAAATAGGCATTTTAAAAACTTTTGACTTTTCATTAATAAAATATAGCTCACTTAATTATTTTTTTTTTACTCATAAATGAGAATGTCAATTTGTCAAGCTGGGTTTTTTTTCTAGTTCAAATTTAAAGGTGGCTTTTGTTATCTGTGTCGTTTTGGCAAGAAAGCAGTGTGGCGCTATTTATCATCATTCTTGCACCAGTCCGTAAAAACTGGTTCCCCTATTCAAAGAGTGGCTTGTTAATCTAACATTTACCATTTCATATTGGTTTATTTATACACTAATGCGGCCTTCGACTGGTCCTGTCGTTTGTCGGAAGTGTCAACGTGGCTGGTATGATTAAACTTGGTGACAAACCTTTATATTTTATAACAAACATAAGCAAAACTTCCGTAAAAAACAAACTGCAAACAAGTTTAAGTTTCAAAAGCTTACAGTTAAAAAAAGAAGTATAAAAAATCCATATTGGCTATGAAAAGATCTATCGAGATTTTTTTGCACCGAAAAAGTACCACCCTCCATAGACTCTCATATTTCGTGGTTACAGTTGATTGGATAATGTATTTTCGTATCGACCAATGAGAGGAGCAGAAATCACGTCTTTGTCAGGGAAGCCATTTGTAAACGTTCCCGCGCTCAACACAAATCACAGAAAATCCTTCAACTCTTCCAAGAATGGACCGGATTTTTGCTTCTACTCTTCTTATTTTTTCACTGATTTATATATTCTTTAATGTAATACTTGCTGATGAAGTTGATGATCAAATAGCATTCGATACTTCGAGTCAACATGGGTTAAATGTAGGTATTGCAGAACAAAATATGACGGGAAAAAGATATCTGATATACGATGTGAACCCAGGAGAAGGATTCAATTTACGCCGAGATGTTTATCTAAGAGTTGCTAACCTCGTGAAAATACTACCAAAGGAACAGAACTGGGTATTAGTTCTTCCCCCTTGGCGAAGGTTGTACCATTGGAGATCTCCGATCCACCAAACTGGAATTCCATGGAGGACATTTTTTGATTTGAAGAACTTGAATTTCTACGTTCCAGTCATGGACTTTGAGGATTTCGTCAGAGAAACTGGTAGTTCTGGTATAGACGAAATAATATACCTACAGCGATATGCAGAGGGATGGAAGGATGGAGTATTTGAGGAAAAGATAGATGATCGGCCTTGCATTGATAATCCTGTTTATCACAAAGGAGAAGATGGGCTGTATCGAGGATACTTTTGGGATATGTCCGAGGTTTTCGCGCGAAAGTTTAAATGCATCTCTGTACAAGGAACTTCGGCTATTTTAAAAGACGTCCTAGTAAAAAGCAAATCTAGGTAATGTGTTAATTATTTTTGAAAACCTGGCTAAATACGTGAATCAGCTGGCTGTTTTTTGTGGACTTTTTGACATCATAATTAATGCTCATAAATTGAACATTGTCATGGAAACCCCAACATTTTTATATTTAAAAAAAAAAAAAAAAAACAATATTAAAAAATATATATTTGTTTTGGTATTAATCCCAAATATGCGAATATTTTTGTACAATAGATAGGAATAACAACGAAAGAATAGCTTCAAAACCCATGACACAGAATAAAACAACTTCCTATTGATGACATTTTATTATAAGCTAGGAAGGAAGTAAAGGAAGTATACAATAATTATCACTAGCTGAAAGGAGAACTCTGAAAAGGAAAAAAACCCAAAAAAAACCTGTAGCTCACTGGTTAGAGCATCTTACCAGCATCCAGAAGGTCATGGGTCTGATTCCTATCAGGACTTGCAATCCCCTTTAAGCTAGTGATGAAATAATCTAAATTATTCTATAAAAGAGCTATTTGTTCTGTGAAAACAGTGCATTTGTTTAGGCATAATTAGCGTCTCATTAGAATTTTTACAAAATTTGACTGTTACTTTTTGAAATAAAATGGTCTTTCGTTTGTATACTAGTTACATTTTCATTGGTAGATTGTCTATTTCCTATGTTAATAAGCCAGCGATAGGATTTATGTTGATATATTGGTCTATTAACAGTTGACATGTCTTTTATCTTGAAGGTCAGTATTTATAGACAGACTTGAGGAAGTCTTGCATATTGTTTATGGACAGAAAGATTATTGGGAGGTTAGTAAACTTGGATATAAATATATTTTTGATTTTAGAATATATGATAAAAAATTGAAAATGTCTGTGTTCAAAATCTTTCCTTTCACCAATAAGTGCAAAATCCATTTTTCAAACCTCTTCAAGAATTTATTTTATTTTGTTTTTTACCATTTTTATTTTATATTTGGATATCAAATGAGGTATTTTCAACATTGCCTGATTAAGTGTGTTTTTTTCTCTGGTTACCTCCCAAAGCCACAAAGTATTATGAGTATGGGATTAAGTAGAGAATAGATTGACTGAAGTTGTGTCATCCTCCTGCTGTGTTATAATAATAACTAAAGTAGAGAGTATGATAATTCATATAGCCTTAGCTGCTCAATTTAATCAAAATTGGTATATTTTTAGCTTCTTAAAAATACTTAATTTGAGCTATATCCAGTTCTGTTTTATGGTGTCATCAGACACATGATTAGGTCTGTGTATGAAAGGACCGCATGGTCATTTAGTCACTCTTCCTTTCGTGTTTATCTAGGTTAGTGTTAGCAGTGTTTTCACTATTAGTCTTATTTTGCCCACTTCCCATGGGTTGTAGTTTATTTTGAGGCTAGGGTTTTGTCCCGTTTTAGTGGTCCTTTCTTTGCTGTACCCAAAATAAACTTCCTTTCCCAAGTTAAACAAGTAGTTTTGTCGTTCTTTATATTTTAGCGTAGAATTTCATAAATAGTTATGCATCCTTCCCCATAGGATGGCAACTTTGGCATTCATTTTATAGTATTCTAATTAAAAAAATTAAATGTTCTTTTCTCCAGGCCAGGAGAAGTTTAGTCTTTGCCAAACATCTGCGTGACGAGGGAGATAAGTTCCGTCAGAAACATCTGCAGTCAAATGACAAAGATGACAAGACAGAAATGGAGGATGACTGGAGGAAGAACCACAAGAAGGAAGGTTCTGCAAAAGGTGGTCCATATTTGGCTGTTCACTTGAGGAGGGCTGATTTTCTTTATGCTCATCCAGAAAAAGTACCATCTCTTGAAAGTGTGGTAAAACAAATAAAGAAACTGTTGAAGAAATATAAGCTGAAGAAGGTGTTCTTGGCAACAGATGCTGATAGGGAGGGTAAGAATGATATTACCTATCTGAGCAAAATATAATGATATTTTGTAATAATAATAATAATGCATGCATGCTGCTCAACTGTGCATTGTAAGAACTGTTAGAGCATGTAAGGTGTAGGTTTAGGAACATCGCCAGTAAATAGAGTGAACAACGTAAAGGAAGGAATTAATGCAAGACATAGCTGAGTGTTTTTCTTGCTATTTCTAGGGACCATGGGGGCATGTTTTTAGCCAAAAAAGGATTTTCTTTTATGAGTTGTTTAATAATCTGCTATAAATGTTGCAATTTGCTCTCAAGCACTGGAAATTGTATTTCTGAGAGCCTTAATTTTAAAAATTGAAGGGGTATGTGGGCATTTTCCTGGACCACCCAGATTATAATTAGGTCCTGACTCAAAGCAATGCTCCAAGGCTGATAGTCCTACAGTCTCTATAAAAGTACTATAATATGAGTGACCAATTAATATTGCATTCACTATTTCATAGTTAAAAGGTATGTTGGTGAGAGAATTATGTCCGGATTTTTTGGGACACGTCTAATTACTGGGGGGGGGGATGGGGGAATTACTGGGGGGGGATTACTCGAGGGGTTCAGTTGGCCCATACAAATTGCTGGCTTAGTCTCTCTGAAAAATGTGATTTACTGAAATACATTTACTGCAATATCAGCATAAAAAAACATAAAGCTTGACCTCCCTTTACCCTCTAGCTAAAATACCATTTCACGGATCCTGCGGCTCAACCTCAGCCTCATCAGCGTGTAATACATTCTTTAGAAATTGCCTACAATCTGTGAAATTTTTAAGTGTTTCAATTGGTTGTTGATGTGTAAATTCCTTTCATTACTGCTGATTGTAGTCAAATTCTAAAGAATAATTACACGCTGACGAGGCTGAGGCTGAGAAACGGGATCCGTGAAATGGCCTATTGGAAGTAGAGTATGGTGATGATGGGGAAATAATTCATATTTTTACAATTCCAGATGTAAAATACCTGAAATCCAAGCTTCCGTTGTTCAAGTATACACCATCAAAATCAATACTGGAGAAGTATGGTGATGGCGGCATGGCTATTATAGATCAGTGGATTTGTGCTCATGCAAGATATTTTATTGGAACATGTGAATCAACATTTTCGTTCAGAATTCACGAAGAGAGAGACATACTTGGCTTCCATGCCGACAATACATTTAACTGTTTATGTGGCGATAAAGAAGAAGGAAAATGTGAGCAGCCTACGAGATGGAGAATTGTATATGATTAATGTCACAGAAAATATTTAGTTCGAAATAGTGCTAGTCATAAAGGAATTTTTTCATGTATATACTGTGCAGGGGTGGATGCAAAATTTGCGAAGGGGTGTTGATTTAGGGACATTATCAATAAAATCCTCATCTGACTTATTTGATTTGTTCTTAAGATAAAAATCCAAATGCGTTTGAATATGTTGAATGTGAAAAAAAATGGCAAAATGTTGCTGGATTTTGGATTTTGGAAAAAATAGTGCGCGATTTGGAATTTGGGCCCCCCTTCCAGACCGTCTTCAATTTCAAGAAAATGAAAGGTGATGTAGTAGTAGTTAAAGGTGATGTAGTGGTAGTGATGTACTTGCTTTTCATGTCAATGTTCTCAAGTTTGATTCCTGGACATGACAATGAGTCAGATTATTGTTTTTATTTGATTCCAATGGTTTTTAGTTTTTAAAGAGTTTACATTACCAGTAAGAAATTGTGAACCAAAAATATATTAGATAATTGAAGTAAATAAAATTAGTTTATATTATTAAAATGGTAGGGGCTTTAAGTTACTGATTGTACGTTATGCCCATAATTTTGGTTATGGAAAATGACAGTCTGGGAAAAAAGCCCTTTTTATAAATAACACTAATAAATAATGTGTAATAAAACTAAATTTTTGAATTAAATAATTGTTGTTCTTTATACAATGGGTGATAGAGCGGATGCAATTAAACCGTGAAATAAAATCAAACTAAATACTAACTAATAGTATCTTCTATTTAGTGACTAATAGTTGCTATCACTCAACCAGAACATCCATCATACAAAGACAAATCTTTTATTTAATAAATATTCTGGTTGAGTAATAGTGACTATTAGTTACTAAATAGATACTTAGTATTTAGTTTGATTTTATTTCACAGTTTAATTGCATCTGCTCTATTGGTACTACTATACTCATTTGTTTGGCAGTCGTAAGGAAGGATAGTGTTGGGCAAGAAGTATCCCCCAAGTATCTCAAAATTACAAGGATAGATTCTAGCCTGATATGGACGCTCTTTGGAATAAAAAGTCCAAAATTCCATCATACCTCGATCATAGATTCAATTGTAACATTTCCGAGTGAGCTAAAATTTTCTTATTGGTAAAAGGTAGGAACTTCATTTATGGTGCATTATTTTATTTCTACCAATAAATGTATGTGGTAGTCCACGTATTCCTACAATACATGAAGTACCATACGACTAAAGCCTTGCAATCAAGTCTGAATTTTAAAGGGGCACTTGAATGAAAATTGGAAATGACTTGAAACTTGGTTAAACTTATTTATATGGCCCTAATGGTAGCCAAGCAAAATACTTTCTTCACAGATAAGTGACAGATAAGAATTATCAAATTTTATTCCGCACCTAAATTGTGAATAAATGATGTCATTTACTCAACCCTATTGTAACTTCTTTTCACTTGCGTACCAAAATTTCTTAAAGTGCAAGTGGCTCCCAGGCTAAAATTTTCACTAATCTGGTTTACATAATCATAATTGAGTCATTTTATCCTCAAATACTTAAGTTATTCAGACTTTCAAAAATAGGGACTTTTTCATATGAGTTCCCCTTTTAGATAAATAAATAAAATAGGATTTACGGTGGCATTTCCACAGTGGCTCTTCATCCACTGTAATTCCAATTGGAATTTAGAAGTTGATTTTTGCGGAGAGAGGTAAACCAGAGAACCGGGAAAACACAGAAGAAAACCAACAAACAACTTTACTCACATACTATACCGAGCCTAGCGGGACTCGAAACCATGCCATCCATGCTTTCCAAAGATATTGAATGTAGCCTATTGTGTAGTTTGCTACCAGTCTTGATTTTAACAAGCACAGACTACAGCAAAGTAACACCTCTCTTGAACTTTATGATTTTTAATTATATCACATTCATTCACCAAAAATTTGTTTTAATATTAAGACCCAAAGAAAAAGCATATACATATATATATATATAAATGGTCTGAATGATGAGGGCAGCTCTGTTGCTGACTAACTGATGGTCCTCTTCAAATTTACAAATATACAAACAACTAGAGTGCAAAGCTTTAAGATGTGAAACTGTTTGTAACTAGCACTAATTTGTACTAAAAAGCACTGATACAACGATAGATAGAGTGCATACAATATATCAGTGAAAAAGTTAACTAACAAAATTGAACAACTTAGTGCAAAGTTTTGTAGGATTACGGTCTACCAAGGGCTACTATAGTTAATGGAGTGGAATGGTTTGGAAACATATTCTTCTAGGTTTTTGTTTGACTTTATCCACTGTTATGACGTTGACCCTGCACAGAGAAGGAAACGTTGCAGGGTTTTTTCACAGTATTAGGAATAATGATAAGAAGGTAAATTATACACCTTTAAAAGATGAAAAAACGTTTCGGACGCTAGTCCTTCATTGGACGTTCGACAAAGGACTAGCGTCCCAAACGTCAGTAAGTTTTTTCATCTTTAAATGGTGCATAATTTATCTTTTTATCATTACTGTTTCGACGCATCTCACACTAGTTTTTAGCTAGTTATCTCTTAGTATTAGGAATATAGAAGTTTCTTTCCCTAAAAAATTCGTCTTAAGATAGTTATTATTTGTTAATTAATCCCATATGATTTTTCTCATTGGTTTCGTCTTATTCTTATTATATAAACACTCGCCCTTTTTCATGCTTTCTTATTAATCATTATTTTAGTAACTTAACTTTATCTGTGCGGAAATATTTATCCGCTTAGTTTGTGGTCACTGAATGAAACTTTTCACTTTCTAAATGTTCATACATGAAAATAATAAGGAATAAGTATTTTCAGCCATGCTTGCTTTGGTTCATTGTGCATGGTCAGTATCACATGATGGTACGGTTCAACATCAAACGCAAAACAATAGCTAGTTTATTCTATGGAGTTTCCAAACCATTCCACTCCATAAACTATGGGGCTACTGAACTTACTAATTTGTGCAAATTTGTGCAATTTCCTACAAAGTTTTTCATGGATATATGTATGGTAATATGCACTCTATTGCACCATTTTGTACTATTTAGTGCAAAAGGATTTAGTACTGTTTCACAAATTAAGATTGCGCACTCTTCACTCTACAGTACATATTCAGAAGATAAGCTGCCTTATTTGGTTAAGATACTAAAGTTAGTAGAAAAGGTCATGACCAATGTTTGAAGATGCAATTGAAAATAGAAAGATCTACAGTAAAACCAGGCAGGTTTTTGACAAGAAAATGTTTTTGTTCTCCATTTTGCACTATAAAATTCTTTATCAGCAAGAATGGACATGCATTACATGTGAAAATGTGGGGCATGAACAGCTGGCCACATTTTCTTAGAACTTTATTTCTTTGGGAATCTACTGTGCTAATATATCTTTTCTGAGATAGGGAACATGGTGCATTGTGGAATCTAGACCACAATGCATCCTGTTTATTGAGCTGAGAAATGACCTCCGGTTTACCAGATAATGCGCCAACACCCTAGTTGTTCTTGGGTGTGGTTGCAGGTAAAGACTCTGATACAGAAACAGATGAATTGGATACATTAGCAGTAGCAGTTGTCGTCATAATCATATTTTGGTCTGCCACAGCAACTAAAACCTTTGCAGCATTGGTAACACTGCTCGTTGCTGCTGCTTTTTCCATTGAATCAGTATTTGCTGTATCAGAATTTGTTCCAAGAGAATCAATCTTCATACTGCTAGATTCAGACTTGCTAGTGTTCAGTGTCATATTTGTGTTATCAGCTTCACTAATGTTTGACACTGTGACAGCAATAGTACTTGTACTACTGCTTGATTCAGTGTTCGGCACTGTGCTGGTAATACTACTTCCTTGGGACTTGCTATTACTAGAAACAGTGGTGTCAATCGAGGACTTTTCTGACACAGAATCAACTTTACTTTTAACATCACCAGATGTTGGTTTTGAATCACTTTTGGTAGGAATTGCTGTATCCAAAGAACCTTTAAGAGCCTTGCTCTCACTAGGAGTCAAGGACGTCAATCCACTGGGTGCTGAAGTACTAAGAGTTGATGGATCATTCATAGCACTTGAAGTAGAAATGGTTGAAGTACACGATGTTGTTGTGCTAGATGCAACAGCTGTTACCGGTGCACTAACATTACCCACTGGCGGAAGTTTAGAATCAGAATAGATAGAAACGGCAGGATCACTTGGTGAGGACGTTGTGGCTAGAGGCGATGTAACTGTTGCAATGGGAGCATCACTACACACAGCTGCTAAACTTGCTGCAAGGAGAGTAGGTGAAATGTTCTGGACACCAGCAGGCGAGTCGGCTGAAGCAGGACTCAGGACTTCCATTGGAGTAGAATCCGAAGATGCTCTGCTTTTTGGTAATGATCCCTCTAAACCCAAGGAATCATCTGCCATTTTCTCTATTTTTAAAATGGATGGTTTTGTATGCAACAGAGCTTCTGAAGATACCTTAATTGTTGGGAGTGTTTCATGGGAGCCGGTCGTTTCCTTGGTTACTGGTGCTAGAGGTGGAATCAGAGCACTGGATTTTTGCTGAAGTGCTTTAGGCATTGGCAGGTGTTTATCTGTCACTTGGTGTAATGGAGGAATGGTGTCAATTACTACAGATGCAACTGCTTTTCTTCTTTTTTCCTCTTCTGATGCCTCCTTTTCTCTGAAATAATCCAAAACCAAACATCAAATGAGCTTTTTCAGGTATTTTTAAATAAGTAAAACGGAAGAACTATTACCATAAATGGAAAGAGCATGTTACAGTTCGAATCTCAAATTCCAATTTTGAAAACTTTCAAACCATTACTTGTACCTATAAATTCCGAATTTTACTCGAGATTGTGCTATTTCCTATACTAATAGACCTTTTTACCTTCATTGTGCACATTTCAGACCATGTGATGCCACTTTTGGCAGTTGATTCTTTTGTGTGTAAATGTTTTAAAATGTGGGCAATTTGCAAACAAAGCTAAAAAGGACTATATTTCTGAAAAGGAAACATTTCTTTACTTAAGGGGTGGACTACTAGATTTTTGAAGAACTGGGGGGGGAGGGGGATTGGGTAAAGACTGAAAAAAATTTGAGCACAGCTTTAAAGACTGAAAAAAAATCATGCATAAGAAAAGCGCCAGAAAAAAATTCCAAATTATGTCCAAAATAAAATCCTGCACAGCCATGAGGCGTAAAAAAAATTGCTGCACAAAATAAATTGCCCAACCCCTCCCCTCCCTCAAAAATCTAATGGTCCTTCCCTAATAGAATGCTCTTGAATTCTAAAGAACAAGCTTAAATGCACACATTGATCACTAGTTTTGGCACAGCTACCTTGCAGATCAAATTGTAATTTAACAAGGCAGCTATGTTTGGGAGAAAAGAACTCATATGAAAAACACTTACTGGTCTCTTTTCTTTGCTTCATCTAAATCTTTCTTGACGTCTGTTCTGCTTGCTTCAGGGGGAAGTGTAACATGTAGTTGACATGTAGAGAATGGGTAAATCTTTGGGACCATATTATTACATGTCTTCTGGTCTCCTGTCTTGAATGAACAACTCTGGAATAATATCTGATTTGGGTCATGACTGATATCTGTGTCCAAGGTGAAGGAATATATGGATATCAAAGTCACCCCAGTGTTGTGGGCACTTTTTTTTGATAACATGCATGAATTAAAACTTCTTTTTTCACGAGGGTAGCACTTAATAGCCAGTGGCTAACAAACCTGTGGCCCTCATTCCGTGATTGAATTGGAATTTAGGAGTTGATTTTTGTGGAGGGAGGAAAACCAGAGAACCCAGAAAACCCTCAAAGCACAGGAGAGAACCAACGAGCAACTCAACTCACATACGACACCGAACACGGCGGGACTCGAACTTGGGTCGCATTGATGAGAGGCGAGCACTCACATGGCTACGCCATCCGTGCTTCCCAATTCAGTTACATTAAGCTGCTTATAATGCAGCTACCCCAGTGGCATTGACACTTTCCTTATGTGTTTATATAGACACTGAGGGTGGTTAAATGTCATCAGCGGTTATTTTACATCCTTCCCCCCCCGGGGGAGGGTATTCTTGCCCATTGAGGGTAGGGATGTGCCGCTGAGCCTCCTGAACCCTGACCCTGTTCCACAGTAAAATTGCTGAAATTCATACCCTGTTCCAGAGCAAGATCACTGAAAACCATAACCTTTTCCGGTAGTGCAAAAAATAGATACCCTGTTCCAGAGAGGAGAGAGCGTGATTTCATATACCCTGTCCCAGAGCGAGGGCAATTTTATATACCCTGTTCCAGAGTAGAATTGCTGAAAACCATACCCTGTTTGGCGGCATGTACCCGTATAGCGAATATAGGGGAGTACCCCCCCATCCCTCTGATATTGGTTAATGTGATGAAGAAATGTGGAGAGACAGACGACCGCCATTTAGAGAGTGGTCTTCTGAGTCACTTCAAAGTCTAACCATTTGTAAAATGATGCACTTACAAAGACAGCAGTTTCTCTTTAGTTATTTGACTTTGAGTGTTGGCCTGGCTGGAAATCCAACCCACAGCCTCCCACACCACAGGTCAATGCTCAACCAACTAAGCCTCTCTAACTACATACCATGATATTCTTCATAGAGTGCTTTAAGTCTCACTCTTGAATAGTTAGATAAATTTATCTAACTTATATAGCTAATTAGTTGACGCCACCTAAAATCGTAAAAGTGCGCCAAATAACGGTCATGTTAATCCGGGGGTTGTTTTGCCAGAGAATGAGTGAATAGCCATTCACTTGTATCATCGTTTCTCCCCCTGATCTCTGTAGCTGTTTACTCGTAGTTTCAAATTTAGGTGACGTCACCTATTCAACAGTGACACTAAAAGCACTCTAACGGGAAACCCAACACACCACACTGTATTATTCATAAGAATTCAAATGCAATGCAAACAAGAATTCAAAAAGGATACGATGAATGCAATATTTCGTTAGTGGGAGGATTCTGTTTGGGCATCTCAGGCCATCACCAACATGAGTACACCTCTGATGTGATGTGCTTTGATGTCTGGCACTCCCTCCATGACGTTTTTCTTTTGCTTGTCTGTGAAGAATAGCTTCTACTCCATGTCGCTTGCGATGAGCAGGGGATCTTAGTACCTCGGAWGGACTGAGATGACTTGCAACTGATGAACAAATTATGATTTTGTTTTCAAGGCCTTGTTACACATGGTCTGGAAGGGTATTTGCGGGAGCCAGGAAACGGATAAAATATAGCGCGGGACCCGGGAAACTAGAAAAAATCTTATGTGATTCGGGATATTGGCGTCAACAGTGACTCTGGAATTGATGAATTCAAGTGGCCTAATCTTGGGCCCCGCCCAAATGTATCCGCTCCGAACACAAATACGTGTGGACGGTCGTATCCGCAAATTTTCGAATACACTAACACGATTTTGCGCATGCTCAATGAGAAAAACTATCCGTCAAAGGGACTAGGCACTAACATGTATCAGAGGGGATCAAGAAATTTCCAGATATGTGTGGACAGTGAAAGCGATTTGAAACCAATCGAATACGCTGGCAGCGTGTGGACCTAAACATTTTCGTCTCTGAAAAAAATATTTGCGTATACAAAAATTTGCGGATACATGTGGACGGGGCACCCTTAGTTTACAGTCTCCACTGAACTTTGATTGATCATAAAACAGTATTTTTTGCTACTTTTGGTTGTTTATAACCAAAAGGGGCTTATGATGAGAAGAAAAAGTATTTTAAAATGCTAAATGTGGATGAGAATTTTTTTTGCAAATGGAATGAAAATATTCTGTTGAAAAAGATATCCAGACAAAATTTATTAATGTGAATGGGGCCTTAAGTACTTACTAGATTCATTTTCTTGTTCTGCTTGAATAACTTGCAAATACTTTCTTCTTTTCTCTTTCATCACATGAAAGAGCCTTTTATATTGTGCAACGTAGAGAGATTTCAACCTCATCATCTTTTCATAGCACATTTTGGAGGCTTCATCTAGTGTCCACACTCCAGCATGTCTAGTAATTAAGGAAGTAGATGATTGTAAATAAAGCAATTTTGGTACAACAGTGTGAAAAGCTCACGGTATGAACGTGGTCGTGACACAGCAAGGCATACACCAGACCAATCATATTGCATGAGAATTTACTTTTCATCCAATCAAATGCCCGAAACATGGCATAAACACGGCACAGACACGGTCACGCCAATGTCACAGCACTGTYAGACCAATCAAATTGCTAGGAGAAAAATCTGCCAATCAAAATTCTAGAAAAGATACCGGTCACAGTAAGGCATGCATATGGCACTGACTTTTTCACAGTCATATGAGAACTGCTCTAAAATGCACAGTAGTATCTAGCCATTTAAACTAAAGTTACAAAGGTACACTGTAAGAAAGGTTAGTTAAACACTAGTTAGCCAACAACCCATCTATTAATCTACAGTATCCCTCTGCAAGGGCGGATCCAGGGTTTTTTGAAGGGGGGGTCTCAGGGGTAAATTTGTGGGCAAAGGAACYCCAGTCGCATTTTTACCACAGGAAGCCCATTTGACCTCAGGAATGACAGGGGGGTCGCGACCCCCCCGACCCTCCCCCTGGATCCGCCCTTGCTCTGTATCTGTCTGTCTAACCATACGTCTTTAAATAATGTTATATCATTACTACCACTAACTAAAGGATTTAAAAATGCACTGTTTATAATATGGACAATTGAGGGCCATAAAACAGTGTCTGTAAGGTGACCACTGGTTGGGTACATGTAACTGAAGCAAAGAATGTATGGCGAATTTGCCAGGACTTAAATTTGTCCATGATATAGAGGTGGCCATAATATAGATGTGTCCACAATATATGGGTGTCCATAATATAGGGGTGTCTGTAATATAGGGGTGTCTGTAATATAGAGGTGTCTGTAATATAGATGTTTATCATATAATTATCCATAAAATACCTATATTGCTCCTTTTCGTAAAACTGATATTTTCACATGTGAAAATAACATGTTATTTTCACATGTGAAAATATCGTTTCCATGTGTATTTAATCTATTAGTTTATAAATAAAAACTTTTGATAATAACAAAAAGCTTAATAAGTTGACTTTATGGATAATTATATAATAAACAGAATATTACATGGGCGCTTGGAGATACGAAATTTTCCTTCTCTTGTTGAAAATCTCTCACTCGTTCGCTACGCTCACTCGTGAGAGATCTTTTCAACACTCAAAGATAAATTTCGTATCTCCACGCGCCCATGTAACATCCTCTATGTCTGTAATATAGATGTGTCTGTAATATGGAGGTGTCTGTAATATAGATTTGTCTGTAATATAGATGTGTCCGTAATATAGAGGTGTTCGTAATATAGATGTGTCTGAAATATAGGGGTGTCCATAATATAGAAGTGTCTGTAATATAAGGGTGTCTGTAAGGTTCCACTAGATTTAAAAACACAATTTCAAAGCACTTACCTAAGAGCATCTTCTTCTTCACTGTCTACTGATTCAGCATCACTATCAACGTCGCCATGCCAAGCACTGTCTACTTTCAAGGACCCACCAATACCCAGATCCATGCTCAGCTCATCATCTATGGAAAAGAAAAACAATGTATAGTACAGTAGTTGAGCACTATTTAGTGTAATACCATGATAACCTCGGATTCTTTTGTCTTCTGAGGGCTCTACAAAACCCGAATTTCCCACATACATAGAACATAAGGGAAATTTAGAAGACAAAGAAATCCTTTGTCTCTTACTAAATTTCCCTGACGCATATATTAAATGTATGGAAATTTAGTAAAAGGCAAAGGATTTCATTGTCTGCTAAATTGATGTTACTGCACGGTTTCCATGTGGGACACGTTCTCAAATCTGCGCATGCTCAGTCATAAGATAAATTGAAAATGACTAACTTGTTTTTAGATTCTATTTTTGTTTTATTCCACAAATTTTCCCTTGTTATTCGGGGAAATTTAATCACTAATTTCCCTCATGCCATGGTATTAGTTATAATAAACAATAGAATTAAAGTGCCAATAGCACCTAATTAATATTTTCAGTATTGATTCTACATGTACATAAAGTGAATAATTGAATGGTAAAAAATTTCAAATGGTTTGAGTAATGCATCTTGAACTTGAACTTTTGTGACCTTATTTTGAAGCTCGTACCTGATGAATGGCATTCGTCATCTTTGTGTGAGTCATCAACACTTTTTTGTGAAGCAGTACTTGATGTTCTCTTTCTCTTCATTGCTGTGCTTTCATCTTCATCCTCTTCTACAGTAGTGCTATCTCTTGCTCTCTTCTTTCTACGCTTTTCTACTGCCCTACGAAGCTCAGCTTTTCTTGTGTGAATTATGCAGTAACTAAAGAAAAACAAACAAAAGATTTTAGAATGCTTTTCTATGTTTCTGCATACTACACAGCTTCCAGAGTTGGAGCAAAGAGAAGGGGCAACTGTCGCGCAAAAGTTTGAATACAATCATTTCTTTCCCCCTTGTTTTGTTGGACTACCTTGTGGATTTTGTGGGAGTTTTTGCACCAAAACGTGTGTGCACGCTGCTCCATCATCTCCATTGTCATTGTTGTCATCATCATCATCACAATCATCATGTGTCATCACCATCCTCATCATCATCCCCACCATTATAATTTCCATCTTCATCATTGTCAGCATGGTTGTCATCATCATCATCATCACCACCACCATCATCTCCATCATCTCCATCTTCATCGTTGTCATCATGGTTGTCATCATCATCACCACCACCACCACCATCATCATCTCCATCTTCATCGTTGTTATATGGTTGTCATCATCATCATCATCATCACCGTCATCATCATCATCATTACCAATGCCACAATACTAACCTCTTTTCTTTATCAAACAGTTTTGGTGCAGGATTCATACATCGTCTGTCATTAGACTTGGCATAAAAATCACATGGTTTGAATGGGCTGGCTTTGTCTTCTAAGATATGCTTGTGACAGAAGTCAAATCCTTTGAGTTTTTCTAAGTTGCACACTCGTTGAGAGTAACAACACAGATTGCTTGCTTGTGAAAGGTTCTTTTGACCAGCAGTGTCTCTTGACTCCTCTGTTTTACCTGGTAGTTTGAGTAGAAAGCACTTTTAATTTATTTCTGATCATCAAATGTTCAATATAAACATTATACAGCAAAAAAGCATCCAAAACTACTAAATAAATTTGGTACATGCTATACAGTATCTACCAGTGAAACCAAAAAAAAAAGCCTCATAAGCCTCTACATTATGGCACCACTACCACACTCTTTTGTAACATAGAGAAAATCAAAGAAACCTAGAAGTGTTGCACAAAAAATGGCTTGGAATCTTAAGGATTGGGTTTAAAAGATAACAAAAAATCTCAGGGAAATGTTAGAATAGACCTCTTCGGTACTGACGTAATGTTTTCCCACTTCAGATCACATCATTCCCTAGAGTATCATTTCTTTGTTTAAGGTTTGCGCTTGGTTGCACATGAGAAGACACATGAATATGGATACAGCTCAAACAAAGAATCCTATTCTCAAGGGAATGACACGTGGTCTGAAATGGGAAAACATTACCCTAAGCCGAAGAGGCCTATTAAAAAAATTAAAAATGCAGAAGTCTGGAAAGTGCCCAATACCACAAGTGTTGAAGAAGTAGAAAACGTGTGCATGTGCTGTGTGTAGTTATAAAGCATGCTGGGTTTGCAGAACACGAGAGAAGCACAACGTGTAGAGGAGTGTTTCTCAACACTTCTTGAGTGTTCTGCCAATTACCAAGTGCTTTATAACTACACACAGCACACCAAGCAAGTTTTTTATTTCTTTTATAAAATACAATTTACAATAAAGCACGTGCTCCCAACAAAACAGACACAAGATTTCAGTTATTTTATAATGCAAGTTTATATCTCCAAATTAGTCTAAAAACCTGATTAAATATTTCCTTTTAACATTTAATTCTAGATTTTTAAAGGCACAGACACATGATGGAATTTTTCAGCTAGTGTTGCATGCCATGTCGCGAGAATTAGAGGTCGCACCAAGTGACCACCCTTGCAACAATGCAAAGCCGCTGGTGATGTAGCAATGAGTATGTAACTTTAATAATATCTAATAACCTTTCTTGCAGTAGAGACTGAATTAGTACGATGGCATGAAATAAACAATATATTTACAAAACTTAAATAATTGTGATGGAAATAAAGTAAAAAAATATGATAAATATGAATGTGGAAAAATACATAATGGATCATATGGAAGTGCAGACGTGGAAGCAAAAAGTAGAAAAGACCTTTGGGTTTTTATGTTTCGCTCAACGAATCTCCACCTGTGAACGACCATGCATTAGCAACATCGCACTGATGGTCAACACGGTTTGATCTAGTTCTTGTGACCTGACATATGTCACATGAAAATGGCGTAGCTTGTAAGTGCCCAATGTAACATCTGCTCTTGAAGTCGTTAGCCTGCGTTTAGCCAGTAAAATTTCCTCAAAATTAACGTCTGCAAAACAGCGCCAGAATCCTTGTTCCCTCTGGCCCAAAATAAGAAGCGATTTCTGATTGGCCCTCGCCCGGTTCAATTCTTATGTGAACAAGGATTCTGTTTAAGTTGTAAGCTTTCACTTTTTGAAACTATTTGACGCATGAAAGTATTTTTACATCCCAAATTGACAGGAATGTTGCTATGCCTATTTAAGCAAATTTATAGCAGAAGAGCCATCTATATTGCACATCTTACGCTATTTTGACCTACGACTTTTGATGACTTTTGCTTTTGAAAGGGAATCTGGATAATAAGCTTACATCAAATTTTATTTACTTATTTTGGGTTTCGCTTTGACAACATAAAATGCAATACAAATTTGAAATATAGATTTAAAACTTTAAAATCCCGCTGCTTTACAGAAGGACGAATGAATGGAGAATTTGTTGTTCTTACGGTACAGAAAATAAATGAGAGTGATTATGATATGGAACACAGGCAGAAATATTCAAGTGGTCATTCATGAACGACACAGACTGACAATGCGATCTGTCACAAGTTGAGGTAAAGATGATATTTTAAGACCAGTTTTCCCGCTTTGTTCAATAAACTGTATGACTGAACTTAGAAAGCCAGAAGAAGAGCGTTATTGAGGCATTTTAATGCGTAATAAATGATGCAAACATATGAAACACGTGCAAAGATAAACTTTTTATCACCACAATACGTCGAGACATTATTTCTTTCCCATTACAGCTAAGAAACACTTCCTACTGATATCGTAAGAAATCTAAGGGCTTGTGTCTTCCCGCTGGAAACGACTGTTTGTTGAATTAAAGCGATGTAAAGATAAAATTACGATTTTTGTGACAAGGTTGTACTCACCTGCCGCCATCTTGTTCCTTGTCGACGCCAACAACCACAGGAAACCCGCGCAACTAAACTAACTTGGTGTAAGATCTATCAAGAAAATGATGTTGAAAATGAATTAAAGAAATGGAATTCTTCGATAACCCTCTGCTGCACAAACAGCAGAACATATTTTTAAGTGAAACAGGAAGGGAAGGGCATTGGTCCTTTACTGAAGAAACAGACAGAGGAACGGATAAGGGATGGTGGGAGAAAGGACAAAAAAGATGTGAAAGACAAAAAAAAAAAAAAAACTAGAATAGGGAAAGGGAGAGCAACTGGAAAGAGGAATAGGAACAAAATAACTACTATCCAAATAATTATTTTAATAAATTTCGTTTGTTGATGTAGAAACGAAATGGCCAAAAAAATTAGGGAGAAAAATGACATAAAAGAATAAGTATGAGGAAAAATATCTAAATTTCTGTTGCTAATTTCTACTGATAAGAACCTAAAATAAAAATTTACCGTTTTCATTACTTTGATTGAGACAAGAGTGGCAACATGGAAGTCAAGCAAAAGACTGCTGTCAATCAAATATATTGTTCTGAACATTTATATTCTCTACTACTCCCTATTTCGAGCTCGCCTTTTCTCAGCCTAAGCCTCGATTGCTTACAAATGTGTTTTTTTCTTTTATTAAGGTCCATTGTATAGTACGCAATGTACATACTACATAAAAGTATCAGGTGGTTAAAATGCCATGGATTTTGGTTGAATAGTTGAGAATACTCCATTTTGCTGTTCTGTTCCAAGCTGAGGCTCGAGTTTCCGTGCATGATAAAAAGTATAGTTTTGCTATGCACGGAAACTGCAGCCTCAACTTGCAACTATTATTCGTGGTCACTCGAACGGAACTGTAAAATGGAGTATTATGATACACAACCGAGACTAAGGCTGATCAAAGAGAACTAAAAACTAGAAGTCAGTCTCCCTTCTAACCACATTTCTTTGCATTTCCCCTCTCTTCGTTCAAGGGTAGGTATGTATCAAAATAAAGAGAATTTACAATAAGTAACAGCATAGTTTATTTTTAAAGTTAATTGAAATACAATATTCAAGAATGGAATGCATATTTGAAACATTAAAGCAAAAATAAAACTTTTTTGTGGTTTTGTAGACTTCATATTTTGTCAATCATGAAGTACTTTTTAAAATAATATTTTACATTTTATTACAGCTGTTCAAACTAGGTAAAAGAAATTTGGAAGCAGCACCCAGGGAGCACTCTGTGGAAAAGTATCGGGTGTGCTCTTCATATCTCTAAGGGGTTAAAATCAGCAATTTGGTATCTTTCATGGTGTTGAAATTTAAATTTAGAATTTCAACATTTCTTTTAGGGTATCTCTTAGGGGTTAATACACCATTCAACATAGCCCTATTTAAAAAACTTTGGGTATCTTTAAGGGGTATTTTTAAACATTTCTGACAAGCATACCCAATACTTTTACCCCAGAGTCCCCCAAGGGCACCAGAGTCTATTCTATACTGACACCGATTCTCACCAATTAGAATGCCCTTAATTCTATGTTGTCAGTAACAAGATTGATACGTTTTATTTGATCCAGAGTCATTTGTTTCCATTATATTTATAATCAACTTATAATGGTTAATCAACTGTATGTAAGAGACATACAGTGTACATAAACATATTATTATCATCACAAGCCATCATATATACTAACTTCATTAAATCAAACAAAATTGAATTTTTGACTATACAATTTTTTATGAAACATTCAAATATAATTATTGTTGAGCAGGGATTACAAAGAAGAGAGGGAGAAAGTGAAAGAAAGACCTCTCTTTCTCCCTCTCTTCTTTGCAGCACTGCAGGTTGCTACTATGAGGTGTATATGTTCTTTTGCTCTGACGTTGAGTGCTTCTCACTTGTTAAAATAATTAACTTATTGACCACTCTTTTCACTGCTATGCGCTGATCGAGACAACAGTCGCAACAGGGAAATGGGGCAATACACTGCCACCGATCAGAGAATATACCAACCAAAGGTACCAACCAATTTATTTGATAGATTGTTGTTTCGATCATCGCAGAGCAAAGTGTTAACAGCCTGATACTTGGAATAGAACTGGAACTTATTAGGCTTAGGTCAAATTCCAAACTTCACAAGCCAAACCTAATCGTAAGAATGGATAATAAGCTGGTTGTCTTTTATGTAATTAGTTTTGGCTCATGTAAAGTTTGAGGTTTAGAGACCTTTAGCATCTGGTTTACTGCCAACTGCTGGGGATCAGGCCCAGAAACACAGAGAAACACTCAGCATCAATGAAATTCAATATGTCAGCTCTTCCAGCAACAACTTCGTTTTGACACCTTGATAAATGTTGAAAGTTTGACAGAAAATGCCTGATGTCAATCTGCTGTTTAAGGTACCTAGGAAGAACATTGGGCTAAAGGTCTCTATTATCTATCTTCAGCTTGTTTTTCTCCCAAAAAGACAAAAATAGCAATTCAATGTACAGCAATGGAAGCAAGTCCAATACTCCATTTTAAAGTTCAGTTCAAGTGACCACGAATAATAGTTGCAACTCAAGGCTGCGGTTTCCGCACATAGCAAAAAACTCCAGCCTCGGCTTGGAGAGACACTGTAAAATGGATTATTGAATGAGAAGCTACTAAACTGTTTTTTCTCTTGTTGAAATATGAGTCGTAGTTTAAGACTAATGGTCATATAGAAAACATCTTGTAGTGTATATACGAAACTATGAATACGACTACATAAACCTTTTCCTTGAAGTGAAATAACTGGATGTTATCATTAGTAACTATAATTTCATGAATGCATTATGTCAGTTTAAAAAACCACTAAAAAGTTGTGAACAATATTATAAACAAGACATTTAAACACAATTTGATTTGAAAGCATATTTTGTACAATTTGTACAAGGAAGCAATTTGTGCTAACAAACTTGCTGAGTGCACAAATAAGTTTTTCRGTAATGAAGTATTTGAATTTCACAGATTATTAATGTCACTGCTAACTAATAAACGAAGCTAAACCTGTATAAATGAGCCTGTGTTTAGTAATAATACTGGCGATATGCATCAAAGAGAAAGAGAACTATTTGACCTATCATCATCTAGCCCACCTACCTACTCTTCATCATCATATGGGCTTTTTAATCAATATTTTGTCAACCCTCTATGTATTACTAAATCCAAAATTCAAATAAATGTTTCTGTTAACTTAAACATAAATATTTATGTCCTCTGAACTTGGCAGATGGAAGTTGAATAGAACAAAATGTAACAGTTACTATGAAGTTAGTCTTGGCAAGTATGAAGTAGTTCTACCTTCAAATATCCATTCTTCCACCCCCTCCCCCCTCCAATCAAGTATCACCCCTTGATTGGGATTTATTTCAGGGCCCAGTTGTACAATAGGTGGATAAATCCTTATCCAGTGGATAGATACTTATCCAGTTGATAAGTTGATACTGTTATCCAATAAATTTATCCACTGGATAAGATTTATCACTCGGATAGTGCGATAAACCCTTCGTAAAGCCTGGCCCTGTAATGTAACATCAATCTTTCTCTACAGAGAGGTATAGATATTTCTGGATCTGCAAAATTTCTCTATAAAACAATAATTATAATTTTTCAAACCTTAAGAGCCAAATCACAGATGCATTTTCAGATTTTCAATGAATAATAAAAGACTAAGATAAATCTCATACTCATTAATAGTTCATGAGGAAACCAGCCAATCAATGGGCTATTTTTTGGGTCACATGATGTTACTTGAAACCTGGTAAAGTCCTGTGAAAGGGCTGAATTAACTTTGTTCAAGTCCTTGGACTGGATCAAAATTAATTCAGTTCAGGGACATATCTGTCCCTTAAGTCTTTCAATCCTAAACAAAAATAAATAACCTCCCGAATTATTAATGAGTATGAGAAGCCATTTCAAGGCCTCCAAATCAGACTGGACGGGATTTCAAGTCCTTGCAATTAGTTCCAGAACTAATTGTGCAGACTTGAAATCTTGTCCCGGGGGGGGGGGGGGGGG